ACAGAGCTGGACACAGTACCCTGGGGGTGCTCAAGGGCATGGACAGCCCTGGATGTGCCCTTGCCACTGTTCCCACAGCCCACGGGCTCTGGAGCTGCCCTCGCTGGGAGATGAGGACCAGGACGTGGCCAGGGAGCGGGCGAGGGTGGGCAGAGTCCCCCCTCACGGCCACCTCCTGCTTCTGAAGGACCTGACCAAGGTGGGTGGGTGGGGCTGGGCCCTGCTGTGAGCTCCAGCCCCCCCAGGACCCCTGGCAGAGGCAGGAGGGAGCAGCCAGTGCCACCTCTGCTCCATGCAGGTGTACCGGCGCAGGAAGGCTCCGGCCGTGGACCGGCTCTGCGTGGCCATCCCGCCCGGGGAGGTGAGGGACAGACGGACAGACAGATAGCTCTGTGGGCAGGGCCAGGGCTGCCAGTGAGCCTGCTCTGCCCCCACAGTGCTTTGGCCTCCTGGGGGTGAACGGTGCTGGGAAAACGTCCACCTTCAAGATGCTGACAGGGGACACGGAGGTGACGCTGGGGGAGGCCTGGTTGAAGGGGCACAGGTGGGTGAATGCAGGGACTCCATGGCTTGGATCCCGTTCCATGTCCTCACAGCCATCATCTCTGTCCCCTCTGTGCTCTTCCTGGCCCTTTGTCCTGCAGCCTGCTCCATCCTCATCCTCATCCCTGAAGCTGCTTGTCCCTATTCCCACAGGATCCCTGGCACATGTGCCCATCCCACAGTGTGGTCACCTCTCCCTGCTCCATGCTCACCTGTCCCCATCCCAGTGTGTTCACCTGTCCCTGTCCCATACTCACCTGTCCCTACCCCATGCTCACCTGTCCCCATCCTGTGCTCACCTGTCCCCATCCCACAGCGTGCTCACCGACCTCCAGTCTGTCCACCAGCACATGGGTTACTGTCCCCAGTTTGACGCCATCACGGACCTGCTGACGGGGCGGGAGCACCTGGAGTTCTACAGCCGCCTGCGAGGCATCCCAGAGGAGGAGACCCCCAGGGTAGGGCCTGTTCCCTGTTCCCTTGGTTTGGACAGACAGGAGTCTGCTAAGGAAGGCAGGAGCCTCCCCTGAAATGGAGAATGTAAACCCTCCCCACCCCTCCGAATTGCTATAAATTTTAAATTAAGGAGCTCTCGGGCAAAAAAATATGGGAGCAGGAATAACAGTTCTTTAATAGGAAAAATAAAAAAAAAAGGATAAAATAAACAATGCAGTAAACTAGAACAACACAGACAGAGTCAGAACACACCTGACACTCTGTGGGTCAGGGTGTTGGTGGCAGTCCCATTGGAATTGTGGCTGCAGCCCTCCTGCAGTGTCAGGGGTGGTTCTGTTGGTGCAAGGGGGATCTGTAGAGAAGGATTTATTCTTCCTCTGAAGATCCTGTGGAAGAAGAGACAGCTGCTGTTCCTCTGGGGAATCCAGTGGAGAAACTGTGCTGGTGTCTCAAAAACCTCTAGATTATATCCAGGTAGCAATGCTTGGCTGAGGTTCCAGAATCTCCAGATTATATCTGGGTAGGAATGATTGAAATCTCCAGATTATATCCAGGCAGGGATGCTTGGCTCCTCCCTCTGGGCTCACATCTCCCAATGGAACGCTGTAGTTCTTATCAGCCATGCAGTGACTTTCAATAGCTGTTATCAGCAGATGTCCCCTCCCGAGGGAGGTGTGATTGTGGTCACTCAAATAGAGAGAGATAAAGCAAACTGCCTACCTGACAAAAGACAATCTGCCATACAGATGTTAACAGAAAACACCTTGCATTGCAATCTCCAACACCTGTCCTCCCCACGCTATGGGGAGCCCCCCAGCCTCACCCCCTCTGTCTCTCACAGGTGGCTCAGTGGGGCATCACCGCTCTGGGGCTGGCCCCACACGCCGACCGGCCGGCGGGCAAATACAGCGGGGGCAACAAACGCAAGCTCTCCACGGCCATCGCCCTCCTTGGCTGTCCCCCCGTTGTTTTCCTGGTGAGGGGGGCACTGGGAGGCCCCACAGCAATGCTGCTGGGGCTATGACTTGCAAGGGACAGCAGGGTTAGGAGCAACGTTGGGTTTAAGGATGGAATTTTGGTTTGTGCAGTCATTAGGGTAGGTAGTTTTAAGCCTTTAATTGTGTTTAGGGTGAGGAAGACGGTTGCAGTTATTACAACGTACAGGTAGAAATTGAGGAGGGTGAGTTTAGGGTTGTAGATGATGATGATTGCTATTCAGCCTAGGTGAGAGATGGAAGAAAAGGCCAGGATTTTTCAGATTTGTGTTTGGTTGAGACCCATTCATCCTCCTAGGGCTGCTGAGAGGACAGCTAAGATAGTTAAGAGAGTAGGATTTAGTGAGGGCGAGGTTATGTAGAGTGGTGTGATTGGGGGGAGTTTTATGACTGGAAAGAAGGAGGCCGGTGGTGAGAGGAGAGCCTTGGAGTACTTGTGGGAATCAGAAGTGGATTGGCACTAGTACAGGTTTTATTGTGATTGCTGAGGTGAGGATCAGGCAGGACGCTGGGTGGGTAAGTTGGGTGATGTCTCACTGCCTGGTAGGCCTTGTGTTGGTTATGGTGGAGAATAAGACAAGGGCAGAAGCAGCTGCTTGGCTTAGGGGCCACCAACTGACCCTGGGCCTGTTGCAGGATGAGCCCACGACGGGGATGGACCCGCAGGCCCGGAGGTTCCTGTGGGAGCGAATCCTTGGTGTGATCCGGGATGGAAGGTCCGTGGTGCTCACATCCCACAGGTGAGTGAGTCCCCACAAAGGGGAGCACCCCGTTGTTAAGTTGGGGGGGGGTGTTGGTCTCCCCCAAGCCCCCACAGCCCTCAGATTTGGCTTAACCCCGAGCAAAGCAGCTCTTATCCAGATAACTCAGTCCCTCTGGGAGACAGAGTGCAAATAACTATGCTGCTACTACCTTTGGCAAGCTAAGTGATTTTCAGCTCATTAGTGATTATCAGCTCTCTTAGGATTTCAGCAAGCACGAGCTGAAATCCTCAGAGAGCTGATAACCGCATAGGGCTAGGGGCAGAGGCAGACAGCGAGAGAGGAGAAGGAGAGGTCCTGGCATTCCATAGTGATGGTTTATTGAGGGGTCTGTGAAGGGTTCCAGCAACAGCTGAATGGGCTGAACCAGCCCCTTTTTATAAAGTATAGGGAGATCTAAACTTGTCCAATAGTAAAGGTTAGGGAAAAAGTGACCGATGGAGTTACAGAGATAAGCTAGGCAGAAGACAGGAGCTTATTTTGCTGCCTCAGCAGTTCCTACTGTTAAGTCTCAGCCCTCCATGGAGTCTGTTACACCCCATAACCCCCCTATGGGGTAGCAGAGTGTATCTCTGCCCTGGGGGGGCTCACACGTGTCCCCCCAGCATGGAGGAATGCGAGGCGCTCTGCACCAGGATGGCCATCATGGTCAACGGCCGCTTCCGCTGCCTGGGCAGCGTCCAGCACCTCAAGAACAGGTACTGAGTGGGGGGCTAGGGGGTCTCCAGAGGGTGGTGGCCGTGGCAGCGCTCACAGAGTGTCCCCTCTCCCCGCAGGTTTGGGGATGGGTACACGGTGGTGGTGCGGGCGGGGGGCCCTGGCCCGGCAGCGGTGCAGGCCCTGCTGCAGCAGCATTTCCCTGGCATTGTGCTGCGGGAGCAGCACGGGGGGCTGCTGCAGTACCACCTGCCCGCCCGTGTCACCTCCCTGGCCGCCGTCTTCAGCCTCCTGGCCACCCACCGTGGCCCCTGCCACATAGAGGACTACTCAGTGTCCCAGACCACGCTGGACCAGGTACAGGGGAGGTGGTGTGAGGGTGTGGTGGCTTTGTCCCACAGTGCCATCTCTCATCCTGCCCTTCCTGCAGGTTTTCATGCATTTTGCCCAGGAGCAGAGCGATGGGGACGCCAGGGAGGTGACAGCCTCAGGACAGGATGCGGCCCCCAACCCTGGGAGGAGGCTGAGCAGGTTCCTGGAGGATGACAGCTACCAGGAGAGCGCTGTCTGAGCAGGCCATGGTGTCCCATGGACCCTTCTTGGTTGTGACAGCAGCACAAGCCAGGATCACAGGGCTTTGGGGTACTGCAGCCCCCCAGAGCTGCACAGAAGAGGCCTGGGCACATCCTGCCACCATCTGACGGGACAGTGGGTGCTGGGTCAGAGTGCCAGGACAGAGCTGGCCCCGGCTCCCCACGGTGGGGTTGATGCCCTGCACGGGGCTGAGCTGGATGGGGGGTCTGGGGCTGGCCTTGGGACCCCGCTTGCTGTAACCGAGCAATTCAATAAAAACCCACGGTACTGCTGGGGGGCTCCACTGCCCTCGCTGGGGGACAGGGTGGGGGCACAGCGGGACACGGGAAGCACCGCGTCCATAAAAAACTTTTCCTAACACCCAACCTAAATTTACCTTGGCACAGCTTAAGACCACATCCTCTCCTGTCAGTTGGACAGGGGGTTGATGTTCGCCTGTGCCAGGGCTGCACCTGGGGGGCTCCCCCGACCTCGGAGGGGGCTGGAACGCTCTCGGGGGGACAAAAGGGTCGTCCCGGGGTGGGGTCTTCGAGACGGTACCCGGGAAAAAATATGGAACGCTTCACGAATTTGCGTGTCATCCTTGCGCAGGGGCCATGCTAATCTTCTCTGTATCGTTCCAATTTTAGTATATGTGCTGCCGAAGCGAGCACGAATTGCGGTGCACACACAGCAGTATTTAAACCCTCCACAATCAGCAATTTTTACCTCAGGGCGAGTTGACCTGTAATGCGCCCTCTGCGCTTTCATTCATATGATCACTCTCCCAAGCAATGCATCCTAGTTTTTTTTATTCTAAATCTTCCGCTCTGGTGAAAATTTTTGCCTTTTTTGAGGTCAAACGGCCGCTCGGAGGTGCCGCCCGCGCGCGATGCATTGTGGGATACCTCCTCATTTGCATGGAGGCGGGGCCTGACCGGAGCGTGTCCTCCGCCGTCCCGTCGTGCCCTGGGCGCGCGTGCGCGCGCACGCGCACAAGCCGCCGTGGCCGGGGGAGGAAAATGGCGGCGGAGCGCTGAGGGACGGGACGGGACCGCGCCGGGACAGCTGAGCCGCTCGCCGCTCCCGGGCCCCGCTGCGCCTCCCCGCCCTGCCGAGAGATCCCCATGGCCGCGGGGACATCCCGGCAGCCACGTCCCTGATGTGTCTGCCCTGTCCGCGTAGCTACCGGACACCACTGAGCACCCAGGCCTGACCCATCGGGCCTGACCCGCCGCCGCCCCGAGGCGTCTGCGCCGGGCAGGGGCCGGGGAGGGGGACGGAGGCAGCGCCGGTGCCGCGCCCGCCCGGCCCCAGCCCGGCCCGCGGAGGTGCAGCAGCGTTTTCGGGCCCAGCCCTCAGCGGCCCCGCCGTCAGGATGTCCGAGAACCAGCCGAACGCCAACAACCACCACCCGGCCAACAACGCCGGGGCCGCCGGCGGCAACAACCGCGGCGTCCGCAACCCCAACCTCAACCAGAACCCCCTGATCAACGTGCGGGACCGCCTCTTCCACGCGCTGTTCTTCAAGATGGCAGTGACCTACGCGCGCCTCTTCCCTCCCTCCTTCCGCCGCGTCTTCGAGTTCTTCGTTCTTCTCAAGGTGAGGGGCGGCTCCTGCCAGCCCACGGCCGGGCTGAGGGCGGGAGTTTCATTAAAAACACCAAAAGTCGAGCCGGCTGTGTTTGGCCCACGAACACTGAGCTGTCCCCGGAGCTCCCGTGGGCTCCTTCTGTGAGGGAGACCTCGGTCTCCGTGGTGGTCCCGGTGTTCCTTGCACTCTGGAGCTCTTCCAGATCTGTAAATCAAAAAGAAATTGCTGAGCCAGCTTGCTGGGCAGCCAGGCTGGTTTCATTTTCTGTTTCCTAGCAATGGCACTTTTTGGATACATTTCCCACCACATGCCCTACTGGATTGTTGGAGTTTTGCTGGAGTCTTGTCTTCCTGCTCCACGGCTTTCAGGGTGGGAAATTAGAGAAAGGAGAAGGGGAGAGCAGCTTGCCAGGCCACAGCAGCACACTCCTTTAGGCTTCAGCAAGAAAACATTGAGCACAGCTTGTCTCATGCTGTACAGATGGGTTTTCTACCCTTTCAGGAGATGTTTGGGTTTTTCACATCCCTGTTATCTCTCCCATTTGTCCATCTGTATCCCGGCAAACCGGCTGGGACAGGGATGGTGCTAACGGTGCAGTGGTCAGGCACAGTGGCTGGGAGCAGTTTGTTGTGCTTCTGCCTCTGATCCCAGCTCCTCCCAGAGGAGGAAAAACTTCCTCAGGGCTCTGTGGAGGGCAGCCTGCAGGGTCAGGGGGCAGCAGGAACCCACATTCCCATCCTGAGCCCTGGAATTACCCCAGGCCCTTCTGTGGCTCCTGCAACCAGGGAGGTGGCTGTGCTTTGCCTTCCCTCACATGTCCCTGTGCAGCTCCTCTGCAGAGTGATGTTTACCAGGCTGTTTGTTCATCACAAATAGGTCAGGACAGCGGGGCTGATGAGGACAGAGCCGAGCAGGGTGGTTGGGAAGGGCTCTGAGCTCAGCAGTGCCACTCGCTGTGCCAGCTGTGCTCACAGCTCTGAACTTTGGACGTCTCTGCTCACTCCAGGGAACAATATTTTTTATTCCACCCTGCTTTGCGCTGTGGTTTATGGCTGTTCCTGGCATGGAGGCAGGACAGGGAGCTGTGGTGCTCTGTGCATGGCCTTGGAGGCCAGCTCAGCCTCCTGTTCTTTGGGACAGGAGATTTGGGTTTGGGTCATGCTGCCCAGGGGTGGCTTGGTTTGCTTGGAGTTTTCTTTATCCTGCCTTTACAAAGCTGGGCAGGCTTCTCTAGGTTTCAGCAGGAAACTCTTTGTGCTGAGGAGGGAAGGGTTGGAAGGCAGGGATATGTTTTCATTTCCTTCAGTGTGCCTCATCCCACCCTGGTGCTGTGTGTGGTGGGTTTTGGGGACACTGTTTGTGACCATGTTCACAGGGGTCTTGGGATGAGGGAAGAGATGAGGATCTGACTCTTTGTTTCAGAAGGCTTGATTTATTATTTTATGATATATATTACATTAAAACTAAAAGAATAGAAGAAAAGCTTTCATCAGAAGGCTTAGCTAAGAACAGAATCAGCAAGAATGAGAACAAAGGCTCTGTCTCAGACTCGCTCTGTCCGAGCCAGCTGTGCTGTGATTGGCCATTAATTACAAACAAGCACATGAGACTAATTACAGATCTACCTGTTGCATTCCACAGCAACAGATAATCACTGTTTACATTTTGTTCCTGAAGCTTCTCAGCTTCTCAAGAAGAAAAATCTTAAAGAAAAGATTTTTCATAAAAAGATGTCTGCGACAACAACTGTTGGGTGCAGGACCTGAGCTTTCAGAAGGCTGTCACTGTCAGCTCTCATGAGCAGGAACAGTTGATTCCTGATGCCTTTGGTGCTTTCAGAAGGCTGTCACTGTCAGCTCTCATGAGCAGGAGAAATTGGTTCCTGATACCTTTGGTGTGTTCCCTGCTGGAATGCCAAGGTCTGGCTGCTGCTTTGTTGATTCAGAGAAGCGTCAAAGCTCTCATCCACTCACCCAGGTTATTCTGGTGTTTCACAGGCAGAGAAGAGCTGATGATAACTAGAGGATCTGTCTTGTCTCCTGCCCTTTAGGCTCTCTTTGTGCTCTTCATCCTGGCCTACATCCACATCGCCTTCTCCCGCTCTCCCATCAACTGCCTGGAGCACGTGCGGGACAAGTGGCCCCGCGACGGCATCCTGAGGGTGGAGATCCAGCGCAACTCCAGCCGGGCCCCCATCTTCCTGCAGTTCTGCGGCGTGGAGAAGTTCCCAGGAATGGTGGTGGAGTCCACCACTGAGGAAGAGGAGGAGGAAGAGGAAGAAATGTCTGTGGATATGTTTGAAAACAGCTCCATCAAGGTAAGGGTGTGGTGGAGAGGGGAGTCTGGGTGATGGGCTGGGGAGAAGTCTTGGTTGGAAATGAAGTCTGTGTGTGATCTCTTGTTCTCCTGGGAACAAAACCTGTTCCTGAGTCCCCACATTGGGCTCTGATGGTTTAACACAGAAGGGAAACCAGAGAAAATGTCGTTTTTGGAGGGGATAGGCCTTTGTGTGCATAGACAGTATTACAGCAACCTGTGGTGGTCGCTGGGGATGAGAGAAGGACGAGAATCTTGTTTCTTGATCAGAAGGCTGGATTTATTGATATATGATATATAATACATTATAACTATACTAAATAGAAATAAGAGAGAAGTTGCAGAGCTGCTAAGATAAGAATAGCCAGAAAGAATCTATAACAAAGTTGTGTCCAGGGACTCTGTCCCCAGCTTGCTCCTGTGATTGGCCTTTAATTATAAACATGGGAACATGAACCAATCACAGGTGCATCCTATTGCATTCCACAGCAGCTGATAACAATTGTTTGCATTCTCTTTCTGGGGGCCCTTGCTTCCCAGAAAACTTAGAAGTCTGAAAGAAAGGATTTCTGTGAAAAAATGTCTGCGACAAGACAGAGCATGGCAGGTGAGAGGTACAATAAAGAGGGTGCTGATGAGGCTTTCCCTGCTCTGGTTTTCCAACAGTTTGAGCTGGATATCGAGCCCAAGGTGTTCCTCAAGCCATCCCGGGTGAGCAGCACTGAGCTGCCCCACAACGACAGCCAGGAGTTCTCGTTTAGTGACGCAGCCACTAAAGGTATGCAGCCTCTGCGGGAGACTGTGTCCGAGTTTGAGATGCTAGCCCGAGCAGGTAATCACACCTTCACTGCTACCTGTGCTCCTCCTTCCTCCCATCATCATCCTCCTCCCCACACGTCCCCTCCTGGCTCCTTGGGGCACCTGCACAGTGACCTTAAATGTTTACTTGGGGATGATTCTGTCAGTACTAACAGCAGACCCACAGCAAGCTGTGCTCTGAGGCTGGGTTAGAAAATTCGCCAGGCCAAGAGGTTTCAGATCAACCACAGGTGAACCAAGCTCTTGGCCTGGCAGGTTCCTGTGCTATCTCAGACAAGCCTGAACCTCCTGTTCTGATCCATTCACTGTGCCCTGCAATCCACAGGGATCTCCTGACAGTGACATGAGCAGGGTTTGGGCTGTGTTCTGGGTGCTGAGCCAACACCAGCACTTGGAGCAGCCAATTTGCTACAATTAATTAATCCCAAAAGCCACCCAGCGGGTTTTGGTGGATTGCAATACAGCACTGCTGTTCCACTCGGATGTTCCCTGGCCTTATCCCACCCTTTTCCTGCCTGACCTAAGCTGCTCAGCACTTGTAAATTCCACAGGCAGATTTAGTAGCTTTGTATTATTTAAAATGGAATTCCAGTGTGGAAAAACTTCTGTTTCTAGTGGTTAAGGTAGGAAATCTACTAAGGAATATTTATCTTAAAATAGAGATGTGGATTTGGATTCTTTGGGGTTTTTTTCCACAAAATTTGCCAGAAGTTGGCCTCTTTGACCACAATGTTATCCCTGTGAATGCTGGAATTCTTTGCTCTGCAGACACACTGGGGTTGTGGCTGTGGAGGAGGATGAGACTGGACACTGTCTTCTTCCTTGGCCTTGCAGTGGATTTGCTTGATGCTCATCCAGAGCTCATTAGTCCTGAATTAAAGGTCATTAAGACCAGAGAGCAGTAAATGTTTTTGGTGCAGGACCTTTATTGCTGGTGCCTGGGTTCTGAGAGGAGTCACGTTGTGCTGGGCTGGGGCACTGGTGGGAAGTCCCTTGTTTTGCTGAATGCCTGGTTGGAAACCATCCAGAAAAGGAGAGGAAGAGAACAGGATGTTTCCCAGATTAGTTACAAAATTCACATCTTTAATTCAGTCCCAAATACCTGATTTTAATTTTTTTATTCCAAGCTTTCGGTTTTCTCGGTGCACCAAATTTTATTTTTAGTCAGAATATTTTACCATGAAAAAAATATTTTATTATACAAAGGAAGTAATTGTTTGTTGATATTTAAACCCTTGATTTCCTTTTGAGCTTAAAACTGTTTATAATAGAAACAAAAGACAAACCAAACAGCCCAGCTTGTGTTTGCTGCCCAGTAAGGGGATCAGGAGATCTCTGTCAGTGCTGGGTCAGGTGTGTGTCTGTTCAGTTCCCTTTAACTGTCACTGTGGGTGGTGCTGGGATCTGCCTGACAGCTGCCTCCCCCTCCTGGAGATCCACCCTGGCAGGCTGAAAGAGCAGGGATTAAATTGCTTGGCTCTGGCTTAGCAGGAGGTTTTGTCCTTTCAGAGATGATGTAGCAAAAAAGCATCTCTTTGGAAGCTTTCTTGTAATAAAAACAAAAACCAAAGCAGAGAAACTTCAGGCCCCACCAGTTTTTGGGAAAGCTGTAATTGCTGCTGCCTTCATTTCTGACATGTAATTGCAGCAGTGACCTCAGTCCCCTGGGAAGTGCTGGGCTCTTGCCTCTGGAGCATTTACTTGGTGTTCAGCAGGTGTAAAGTGGATTTTCCTGCTGCTTCCCAAACAGCATGGAAAGCAGAAATTGAGCAAAGCAAGAACCAGTGGCTCTGGGCTTGCCAGGCCAAGATGTGGGCAAGTTCTGGAACTGCTGCCCTGAAGCTTTCCCAGAAGTCCCACATTAAGGACTAATGTCAAGGGCTGTAATCCCAAAGAGTTTGTATTGATTTGTGTTTAATTGGTTGAGGGAAGCCTGGAGCCCACATTTACAACCAGTTCCCTTTTCAAGAACATGATGGGAGGGAGGGAGGGAGGGAACCCAGAGGGGCTGATTTTCATGCTGGCTGTTTGCAGGTGTGGGTGTTGAGTCTGCCTGTGTCCCTGTGTCTCTCTCCCAGTGTGGCCACAGGGGGAGTACATTGTGGAATATTCTCTGCAATACCAATTCCCTTTTCAAGAACATGATGGGAGGGAGGAAGGGAACCCAGAGGGGCTGTTTTTTGTGCTGGCTGTTTGCAGATGGTGTTCTGTCTCCCAGTGTGGCCACAGGAGTACATTGTGGAATACTCTCAGGAATATGGCTTCCTGCACCTTGCAACCAACCAGTTCCCTTTTCAAGAACATGATGGGAAGGAGGGAGGGAACCCAGAGGGGCTGTTTCTTCATGGCTGTTTGCAGATGTGGGTGTTGAGTCTCCTGTATCTCTCCCAGTGTGGCCACAGGAAGAGCACATTGTGGAATATTCTCTGGAATACGGCTTCCTGCACCTTGCAACCCCAATTCCCTTTTCAAGAACATGGTGGGAGGGCGGGAGGGGTTTTTTTTTTCGTGCTGGCTGTTTGCAGATGTGGGTATTGAGTCTGTCTCCCTGTGTCTCTCTGCCAGTGTGGCCACAGGAGGAGTACATTGTGGAATACTCTCTGGAATACAGCTTCCTGCACCTTGCAACCCCAATTCCCTTTTCAAGAACATGATGGGAGGGAACCCAGACGGGCTGTTTCTTCATGCTGGCTGTTTGCAGATGATGTTGAGTCTCCCTGTGTCCCTGTGTCTCTCTCCCAGTGTGGCCACAGGAGGAGTACATTGTGGAATACTCTCTGGAATACGGATTCCTGCGCCTGTCCCAGAGCACCCGGCAGCGCCTCAGCATCCCCGTCATGGTGGTGACCCTGGGTGAGTGGGAGGCATCTTCAGGGCTGGGTACCTGCAGTGCAGAGACTTCCACACCCTCTCAGGGAACTCTTCCTGAAGCTGATGGTGCTCACTTCCCACGCAGGAGAGCTGCATTGTGCAGCCTGTCTGCCTTTAGTAGGTCACAGCTTTTCAGAGGAGCTTTCTCTGAAATGGTGGAGCTTGGTTCAGTGAGCCCTGATGTCATGCCCAGCGTGGAGCAGGGAAGAGCTCTCTCCTTGGCAGAAGACACTGTAGCTCTGGGCAGCAGAATTAGAGCCTGGTGGCCGGAGAAACTCTGCAGAAGCTGGGGAAGTTGCTCACAGATCTGTCACTCTGTGTGTGCTGCTGTGCCCCTGTGAGCCACCAGCAGGTCATTTCCCCAACCAGTGTTCTCCTCTCCTGGCATTTGCCCTGTTAAAACCTGTCCAAGTCAGGATCACATCCTCATCCTGAACCTCTGTATCTGTTAGTGCAGCAGAGAGGAGCTCATCACTGCCTCCCACTCAAGCTGAAGCAGAGCTGGATGGGGGTTAAGCAGCTTTCCTGTGCAGTAATGAACAGTCAGGATGAACCCCAGAGATAGGCCAGGCCTAGAGGGCAAATTCCCTTTGTGTCTGTGCCAGCACAGAGTGGCTGGATCTGTCAGGGGGGTGAGATTTTCCCTCCCAAGTTTGGTTTTACTGCCCCAGGTCCACATACAGACACAGCTCTGGTGGCACAAGTATCCCTCACCTTGTCCCTTTGTGGCTCCAGGTGTTTCACAGTGTGAAAGGGTTTTTGTTTTCTCTCTAGACCCTACGAGGGATCAGTGCTTTGGGGACAGGTTCAGCCGCCTGCTGCTGGACGAGTTCCTGGGCTATGATGATATCCTGATGTCCAGTGTCAAAGCTTTAGCTGAAAACGAGGAAAACAAAGGTAAGGCTTGGAGGAGTCTCAGCAGAGGCTGCTTGGAGCAGTGGGTGTTTGTTCTGTGGATGCCTGACTATCATCTTCTGACTATTGATTAATCTGTAATGCAGGGAGCAGCTCCCTGTGTTATTGTCAAGGACAAAACGAGAGAGACAGGAGGGGAGAGGTGTCTGGAAACGTGATTTCCTCCAACCTCACTGCCCTGCATGACAATGAGTGCTGCCCTGAGGATTTGCTCCAAATCCTGTTTCTTTAGCAGGAGCTTGGTTCTTAGTCTGTGGTTTAATCACACTGAGCTTGTGTTTGTGCTTTTTCTCCAGGTTTCCTTCGCAACGTGGTGTCTGGGGAGCATTATCGCTTTGTCAGCATGTGGATGGCCAGGACATCCTACCTGGCAGCCTTCGTCATCATGGTCATCTTCGTAAGTCCCTGGGAGCTGGGCAGTGCCTGGCCTCAGCCTGGTGCTGGGCACTGAGTGATTAAAAGCAGATAAGAGCTCTGCTGTATCACCAAAGTGTAGTTGGTGGAGGATGAGGCCCTGCTCTGGGGCATGTTTTTGTTTGTTTGCGGGTTTTTTTTAAAGTTCCTGAAGTCCACCAGTGGAAGGAACAGTAGAGCTGACCTAAAATGCAGTGTTGTTTTTGTTGTCAAAAGGGAGCTGCTGTTAATTTCTAAGTGTCCTTAAAACACTCCAGCTGTCAGTACAGGGGTGCAGACATTTATCTTCAGACTTTTAAGAACAGCCCAGACTGATTTGCCAGGAGGGATCAAGATAAACCAAATGATGATGTGTGAGACAAGATGTTTTCAGATACACATCAGACAAGATCCCAAGCCATAAATACCTGGTGTTTGTTGTCTTGGGTGGCTGTGGGTGACTCTCTTTGTGTGTGGCTGTCCCACCCATGGGGCAGGTCTGTGCACAGTCCCACTGTGGGCACTGAGGAGGAACTGAGTGCAGGGAGGAGCGGGATGGAGCACGGGAAAATCCCCGCTCCCAGCTCTGCGGGTTGGGGTGGCCCCAGCGCAAACATTCCGGCTTGGTCCCTTTACAAACAAATCCCTTACTGTCTGTTCCCCTGCAGCAGCACAGAGATTAATTGCTGTTTGTGAAGCCCTAATTACTCTTTGGGAAATGGCTCTGCACAGCTCCAGCTAATGAACGTGGGATGTGCAAGCCCAGGCTCGCCTGGGTCTGTGCCGCACTGCGATTCCGAGCGACTCCCTGCGCCCGTGGGGCTCTAATCTGCCTCCCTTCCTCTCTCCTCTTCCAGACTCTCTCTGTCTCCATGCTGCTGCGCTACTCACACCATCAGATCTTTGTCTTCATTGGTAAGGACTGGCTGAGGGGTTTGGGTTGTGCTGGGCACTGTGCCTGCTGCAGCACGGGGTGTTGTAGAGTCATAGCAGGTTTGGGTTGGAAGGACCTTGAGGATCATTAGATCCAGTTTAGAAGGGTCCTACCTGTAGGTGCACAGGGAGTACATCCTTCTGCTCCTCATCACTTGCCAGAGCTTATTCTCTGTCCTGAGAAGCGTTGGCTGGGGAGAGAGGATGTGGCTGCACTGTGGGGTGGAGGGTTCTGTGGCCCTCTCCATGCCTCAGCCTGTTTTTCCTCTTGCAGTTGACCTGTTGCAGATGCTGGAGATGAACATGACCATTGCATTCCCTGCTGCTCCACTCCTCACTGTCATCCTGGCTCTGGTCGGTAAGGACTTGCTTCACTGCTTGTGTCTGCAGCACGTCCCTCTGGGATCTGTGGGAAGTCTAATTCCCTGTTCCCAGCTGGCCACAGCAGGTGGTTACTGTGGCTGCTCATCACAAGGCAGAAGGCTCTGGAATTTGATGGCACAGTGAGCTCCATTGTCCTTCTGGGTCCCCTGGAAAAGCAGCAGTTTGTTGGGAAATCCCAGAATCCAAAGCTTTGTCTGTCCCTGGAGCTCGTTGCAGACTTGCACTGTGTGGCCACTTTGCATTTGTACAGTTTTAATTTAAAAAGCAGCAAAGCCTCCCAAAATCTGCACTGCAGGAAGCAGCTGATCCGTGGGACATGGCAGGCAGAGCATTCTTGGCTGTAGCTGATGTCCCCTCTGTCCCCAGGTATGGAGGCCATAATGTCTGAGTTCTTCAATGACACCACAACTGCTTTCTACATCATCCTCATCGTGTGGCTGGCGGACCAGTACGATGCCATCTGCTGCCACACCAACACCAGCAAGAGGCACTGGCTCAGGTGAGGGCTGCCTGTGGCCACATTCCCTCTGCCTGTCCTCCCCCAGCTGCTCTGATCCTTCCCAGCACCCCAGGCACAACTAAGGGTATTATTTGTGTGGCTGCTTGAGAGCTGCCCCACACGTCACAGGATCCAAAGTGAAATTTTTCCAGTTTGTATTTGGGTCTTGCAATCACCTTGGTCTTCCCCAGCCTCTCGTACTCTTAATTATCTGTTAATGAGTTTGTGTCACCCCCTTTGAGGTGCCCCAGCTCCGGCTGGTTTTGGGAGTAGAAGGGAACTCTCATTTTTCCTGATTTTTCTTGCTTTCTTGTCCAGATTCTTCTACTTGTACCACTTTGCCTTCTACGCCTACCACTACCGCTTCAACGGGCAGTACAGCAGCCTGGCTCTTGTCACCTCCTGGCTCTTCATCCAGGTGAGTCCCTGCAGGGCTGCTGCACCTTTGTCAAACTTCCTCTCAAGCTGGGTTGGAGGGAGGGATCCTTGTTTCTGTAAGAGATGGAATTAAGCCTGGTTTGGAAATGGAGCAGCAGAATGAGGCTGTGGATGTTTGGACTGCTGCCATGGGTCTGACAATAAGCTGATGCCACGGGGCTGTTGGGAAGGATTTCTGTCCTTCTGGAATAAATCCTGGGGAGGGTCTGCCTTGCAGAGGAGCTGTTCAGCTCTGTGCAGTGAGGAATGCTGGTGGGATCAGCTCCAAGCTTATGACTGATATCCTGGATCAAGCATACCTGTTGGGTGAATTTAGTTGTTGACCTGCTGCAGGGTGGGGACAGGGAATAGAGGATGGGCCAGAGAAATGCTGTCACCCTTCTTTTCCCAGCCTTTGAAAGCAAAGAGGGATTGAAAGCAAAGAGACAGACTCTGTGCCTGTCTTCGGAGAGAAATTATAAATCAGCTTGCAGTAGTCATAGTGGAAGGGATAAATATTTTCAGACTTGCTGGTGTCAGAGCAGTAGGATTCTTCAGGAGAAGTTTGGTTTGCTTGAGATGTGGTGGCCTGTGACACCTTTACTTTCCTCCGCCAGCACTCGATGATTTACTTCTTCCACCACTACGAGCTGCCAGCCATCCTGCAGCAGATCCGCATCCAGGAGATGCTGCTGCAGAACCAGCAGGTCGGGCAGGGCACCCAGACCACGCTGCAGGACAACCTCAACAACAACACCACGGCTGCCCCGGTGGAGGCCGGGCCCCGCCGGGCCCCGCTGGCCCCCGGTTCCCTGGGCGAGGGCGGCGCTCCGGCCGCCCTGAGCCCCGGCGAGGCCTCCAGCGTCATCGCCGCCGCCGCCTCCGTGGGCAGCGACCTCAACTGGGTGGCAGAGACGGCTGCCATCGTCACGGAGGCCTCGTTCCTGTCTGACCTGAGCAGCAGCCTGCTGGAGCCCGCCGTGGTGCACGAGGCCGTGGCCAACGGGACCCCTCCGGAGGCGGCCGCGGGCTCGGGCTTGGTCGCTCGCATCAGGGTCAGCAGCGAGCACCCCGAGACGGCCGTGGGCTCCATCACCATCGAGGTCACCTCAACGTCCGTGGTGGCTGCAGCAGATGCTTCCCTCGCTGCTGGGGCTGCCCCACTGCAGGAGGGGGTGGTCTCCAGTCCCTCCCTTCCCAAGCAGACTGAGGCTCTGGAGGGCTCAAACAGCCGAGCAAAACCCGGTGGTAAAAACTGCACGGGCAGCGGTGGCGGCGTGGCAGAGCCACTGCCAGCCTCGGGGGGGGACAGTGACCAGGACAGAGGTTTGGAGGACCGGGGGGAGAGCAGCCCCTGCCCAGCACCAGCAGAGAGAACGCCCAGCTCAGAGCCAAGCTCCAGGAACCTGTCCTGAGCCCCGTTGCTGTCACTCTGGACTGCCAGGAAGACATTTGGATTTTGTTTGTTACTATTTCTCACTTCACCATCATCCTTAACCCATGGATCCCTCTGAGCAGAGCCGAAGCAGCTGGGACAGAGCAGGGCTGCTGTGACCTCCCTCCCCTAGGAAAGGCACTGGGGGGCTGTGGGAAGGATGGGGGGTTTTGGTCCTCTGGCTCCTCTGAGGCCACAGGTGAGCCAGCTACCTGTTCCCACCCTGCCCAGCTTGTGCCCTGGCTTTTCCTTGTCCCCCAGTCCCTGGCTTTGCCCCTGCAGCTGTGTTTGCAGTCCAGGTGCTGATCCCAGGTGGGAGCTGGCCTGGGACAGGCCACAGGCATGGCAGCTTTGTGGTTATAGAGTAGGAGTGGATAGAACAGTGTCCAGCCCCTGTGGGAGAGGAGGAGGGGAGGTGGAGCTCTTACCTTCCCCAGGCGCAAAGTCTGCCCAGGCTAGGGCACAACCAAAGCAGAAAGCTGCAGTTCAGATCCTTTTTTTCTGTCCTTAAACTTCCCTTGGTGGGTGGGTTGGGAGGCGGAAGGTGCTGTGTGCAGGTGGGAGCTGCCATCCCAGGAGCCATGAGTGCTGCAGTGGGGTGAGTGAGGGCAGCAGCTCTGTCCATCCTGCACAGCTCTGCCCTGGGTGAAGCAGCTGCTTTCCAGTGCCTTGTCCCTCCTAGGGGACACGTCTGTGTTTAGGATCAGCCCCATCCCAGAGGAGACAGCGGCTCCTCGTGCCTGGATTGTTGCATGAGCTGATTTAGCAGAGAACCAAAACACTAAAAAGCCAAGACATTTCAGCTGGTTTTCCCACGATTCCCTGGCAGTGGAGGCGAGGCTGGCAGAGCCTGACCCGTCCCAGGAGGCTGAGCTGGGGGTGCTGCCTGTGTTCCCCTGCAGAGGGGCCAGATCCATGCCAGGTTTTGTGCAGGGAGCTGGAGCAGAGAGAGGCAGGATGAAGCTCTGAGAGAACCGTGGTGGGACAGGGCAGGGACAGGAGGTGACGTGTGGGCACTCAGCTCTCTTGGGGACAGCTGGGTCCCTGCACAGATGTCCCTGAGTTCAGTGTTTTTCCCCTATGGCTGAGCAGTGTCTGGAGTCCCTCCCCTCGGGGGGCTCTGTGCGTTTCAGTGTTACCTTATCAACACAGGGGGGCTCAGAGCCCCCTCCTCACCCCTCTGCCTTTCCCACCTGGGTGCCCCCTTTTTGTTTTTTCCTTTTTTACCTGGAGCAGCCTTGGTGCTGTTCCAGGGCAGGGGGGACCCTGCTGTGACCAGCAGGTCAAATCTTGCTGCTGCCCTCACTCCTAAGAAGGAACCTTGTGGCCAACTGGAGTGCCAGGAATGGCCACGATGGGCTTTTCAGAGGAGTGGGTGGGAGGGGAAGGGGGGACACCAAACCAAATGATTTGATGAATGAAAAGTAGAGTTCATTCTATTTAATGTACAAAATGTGTTTGTATATAATAATAAATATTATCTCTTAACAGCTCCTGCAGCGCTGCCCCATGTGCTGCCCACGGCTGTGCTGGGCTGATGTGTGGGAGTCCTGGGGGCAGGAGGGTGCAATGCTCAGTCCTGGGGGTGCCTCCTGCTGTCCTGGGGTGTCACCATCTGTCCCCTTGCAGTGTGCAGGGGCAGAGGGCTGAGCACCAGCCCTGTCCCGGCCATGCTCGGTGGTGCCAGGGCTGCAGGGCTGGCTCCTTCCACAGCCGCCCATAGGGCCGTGGGAGCTGTTCCTCGTCCTCAGAGCCCCGAGCTGAGCCTGTCCCGCTCCCCGTGCAGCCTCTCCATCCCTCACCCTCCTCCCGAGGAAGGCTCCGGTTCTGCTCTGTGGGATCAGCCCGGTTTTGGAGCTGGAGCTGCCTCTCCAGAGGGAGGTTCTGGGCTCGGCCTGTCCTCCTGCCCCGTGCGTGTGGGAGCTTCCTCTGCCTCCTCCTCCTCCTCCTCCTCCTAATCACGGCCGTCCTGCGGCGGGGCTGAGCTGGGCCTGCGGAGGAAGGAGGGGAATGGAAGGGTTGTGTGGGGAAGAGGAAAAGCAGACTTGGTCTTCCTTCGTCATCTTTATTTATGTGGTGTAAAAACAGAGCCGGGGGCGCGGGGCTGAGCTTTGTCCAGCACTGCAGGGACCTCTTACCCCAACTCAACCCCCAAAAAGCATCTCCTGGTCCTTCAAACCTTCAAACCCCACTGCCAGCAGAAGGGATGGGGGAAGGAGACAAAGGCTGCAGAGATGGGGCAGCCCCAGGACATCTCCCTTCCCTTTTTTCCTTCCACTTCTCCAAGCCAGAGGAGCCCCTGCCCTTCCCTGCCCCTGGGATGTTTTGGGGGTCCCTGCCCCCCATCTCACCTCTCCTCCCGGTGCTCCTCGGTGGCCAGCGGGGCGGGCAGTGCCCGGCCGCCCTTGGCGGTGCCCAGCACGGACACCAGCTCGCTCTTCCTCAGCAGCGCCGCCCGCAGCTGCTCCCGCATCTCCTGGATCTTCTCCTCCAGCTCCCGCAGCTCGCTCTCGCCGGCCGCTCTGTCCAGGGGCTGCGGCGGCCGCCCGTTCCCGGGGTGCCCCGGAGGGGACCCCTCCTCCTCGGGGGGCGCTTTGTCCAGCTGGAAGCGCACCCGCCGCGCCTCCCTCCGCAGGGCGCTCCAGGGCTGCGGCGCTGCCCCCGGGGCCGGCCTCGGCTGCGGCTCGCACCTGTGTGGGGACGGCTGAGTCGGGATCTGGCTGCTCTGGGGTCCCTCCGCAGCCCCACAGGAGGAGGAGGAGGGTCCCAGTCCCAGCCTTACTTCTGCTCCAACTTCAGCTGCTGGCTCTTCCTCTCCTCCGTGCCCATGTTCAGAGCCCGATGAATTTTCTGTGGGGAACAGGGCAAGAGTGAGTTAGGGGGATGGATTGGAGGTTAACAGGTCAGAGATTAATTGGAGGGTGATGGTCTAGAGGGTGATGGTCTGAAGGGTGATGGTGTGGAGGTGATCTGGAGGTGGTCTGGATGTGATGGTCTGAAGGGTGATGATCTGGAGGGTGATGATCTGGATGTGATGGTCTGAAGGATGACGGTCTGGAGGTGATGGTCTGGAAGGTGATGATCTGGAGGTGATGGTCTGGTTCAGGTCTCAGACAGGTTGGTGGTCCATGGCTGGAGAAGGTGGTGCCATTTAGGAGGGAGCAGCCACATGGGGTCAGGGGTCTTTGGGACACTAAGCCCCTTCCCCTGGCCCCACCTGGCTGGTGTGCAGCCAGTAGTTGAATTTCTTCTTGCGGCGGATGCGGGGCAGGACGAGGCGGTAGAAGACGTGCTCGCCCAGCGAGGTGAGGAGGGAGCCGCTCAGCCCGATGCACAGCAGCACGAACAGCCCCGAGAAGTGGTAGATGCCCATCTGCAGGGTCTGTGGGGGGCAGGGGGTGTGGGCTGGGCTGCGGGGGGGGTCAGACCCCCGAGCCCCCTCCCCGGCCGAGGCGCTGCCACCGCACCTCAGTGACGGCGAAGACGCGTTTGCCGCAGGGCACCATCTTGTACCACTTGTCGTGCAGGAGGTCGATGAAGCCCGAGGATTTGTAGCGGCTGATGAACTCGGAGACGTTGGAGGTCAGCGGGGAGTTCTGGGGGAGGCCGATGCCGTAGCCTGGCCCCGGTGAGGGGGGGGAGAAAGGGGCAGTGTTGGGACAGAGGGTGCAGCCCCCAGCGCCCACTATGGAGGGGGCACCTCCCCACCGTGCATGGTTATTGCACGACCCCAGCCCCATCGCACACACACAGAGAACAGAATCCCCTTCCCAGCACAGGCCCCCAAACCTTCGATGGCGAAGGGCTTGCCCACAGTGAGCAGTTTGCAGTCAGAGTCGATGGAGACCTCATAATCCAGCAGTGACTTGTCCATGATGAAGGCGTTGAGCTTGGCAGGCTCTGTCCTGTGGGGACACGGGGGCGATGCTCAGGGAGGGGCTGCATCCCCCTTGAACAGCATCCCCCCAGCCTGATATCCCTCCCAGAGGTGCACAGGCTCCAGGACTGGGGCAAAAAATGCCCTGGGAGGGGTAAAAGGTGGGAGAGAGCCCCTCATGCTCTCCCTGCCCCTCACTTGAGCATGGTGACACCGTCAGGGGTGGTGGGGACGTTGTAGCGCCGCATGTACTCGTGCATCTCGGGGAAGCTCTTCTTGATGTACTCCTCAGCACTGCTCTCCCACACCGTGCCGAAGCGGAAGCCCTGTGAGGGGTGATGGAGCTGGAAGGAGGCACCAGAGCATCAGCACCCCTGGCCCCAGGAATGTGTCCCCACTCCCTGGGGATGTGTCCCCAGCCCTGAGTCCCAGGCAGGGTGTCTGGGCAGCCCCAGAGATGCAGGAACTCTTAGGCGTGTTTGGGAAAGAGCTTCCCCAAGAGCAGCCTGAACTCAGCCTGTTTCACCCTGCCCTGGAGCTGAGGCTGGGATTTAACACACAAAGCTTTCTGTGAGACCCTCCCACTCTTAGAAGGGGTCAATATGCAGGACTGGGGCTGGAGAGAAGAAGGAAGATGAAAAAGAAGGACAGGACCCCCCTCAGCCCTTCCCTGGCCTTCATCCTTCTCCCAGCCCATCTGAACAGCAGGACACTCACTCACCTTTGGGTCATGGATGCCTGAGAGCTCCTCAAAGGTCTTGTCCCCCACCATGACAGCTGCCAGGTTGGCCGTGTAGCTGGAGAGCACCAGGAGGCAGAAGATGGCCCAGAGGTTCATGAGGAAGCGGCCGGTGCAGCACTTGGGCGTCTTGCTGGACACAGTGCGCCCAAAGAGGATGGCGTAGCACAGGTTGAGGGCTGAGGAGTAGGAGAAGATCTTCATGCGGTTGCGCCCGTGGGGGGTCATTCCATAGGGGCTCTTCCACTCGTAGAGGGTGAGGAAGAGCGCGGTCATGTGCAGCGCCACGAAGATGCCCACCCACATGGTCCAGTGCAGGGGCCACATGAAGGCCCCGATGGGCGACGCCGTGTCCTTGGTCCTCACCAGGATGCCCAGGCTGGTGGAGAAGAAGGGGCTGGTGAAGTCGATGACTTTGCTCCGCGCCGAGTTGATGCTGAAGGAGGTGACGGCCATGTGGGCCGTGCCACTGAGCAGGTCCCCCACCAGCCCCGTCCAGCGCCCGTTCTTCCAGGCTCCGTATTTCCCATCTCCCACGATGTAGAGCTCGAAATCAAAGGCCATGTCCTCGGCTAGCTTCTCCAGCAGGTCGATGCAGTACCCATAGCAGCATTTCTTGTACTCCTGTGGCACTGACCCGTTGCCACTGCCAATCTTCTCAAAGAGGGCGTCCAGCACGGCCGAGTCGTTTGTGCCGGGGTCCAGGCAGAGCTGCCCGGCCGGGCAGTTCCCCTCCTCATCCACCTCCCTGGTGAACACAAAGGGGTGCTCCACCAACGTCACCACCCTCAGCCGTGTCCTGGCCCCCTCGGCCGCCTCCCCGGGGCTCTTGTGCTGCCTCTGGCTCTGCCACACGACCTCCTCCAGCTGCAGCTTGCCGTGGCTCCAGGTGCCCGCTGTCATCCAGGTGGGGACCCCCTGCGAGTCCCTGCGCAGGCTCCAGATGCGGAACTGCTGCTCTGGCCTCACCAGTGCCGTGTTCTCCACACTCACCAGCCCTGTCTGGCCGTGGAAGGAGGTGTTGGCCAGGAACCTGCCAAGGAAAGGGTTTCACTGCTCCAGCGCTCAAGGGATGAGGCTGGGAGCTGGGAGCGGGATGCAGGCAGGGACAAGGTCAAGGAGGAGCAGCAGGATCCGGCCCTGCAGCTCGCTGTGCTGCCAGGGCCAAGAGTTATTAATATTTATAGAGTGACCATGCTCGGGCAGTGTTAAGGAGATCTGAAGTGACACATTCCCCCTGTGCAGCGCTAACCATGTCCTGGGGGCTGAGCCCCATGGTGGTGGCTGCACACACACATGCCAAGGGTCCCCTACTCTGCCCTTACCCCATCCCAGGTCTGGGGCAGAACCCTCCCGTGCACCCCAATACCACAGAGCCAGGACAGGGATAAAAAGGAGCCCCCAGCACCCCCTTACCGTGCAAGGAAGAGCCCCGGGGCGTCGCTGCCTGCCCGGTGCCTCTCATTGCAGCTCCCCGTGGTCTGCAGCTGTGCGGGGTCAGGGAGGCTCTGGGCAGCCTGGGCAATGGCCTGGGACACCAGTCCCACCATGTCCTGCACGAAGAGCTCCAGCGGTGGCCGGCTCACCTCCCCAAAGGCCAGCAGCCCCGGGGGCAGCCCCTCGGTCTGCAGCTCAGTGGGGCTGAGCGGGAAGCCCAGCATCCAGTGGAATTCCTGCAGCGGCAGCCCCAGCTCCTCAGCAGCCTGGAAGATGAGTCGAGCACGGTGCAGGTCACAGCCCAGCAGCAGCACGGGGCTGGACAGGCTCCTGACACGGTCCCCGTGCTGCTGCAGGTAGCGGGTGGCCCTGGGCTCATCCAGGTAGCCCAGGTCCAGGACAGTGCGGAGGAAGAGCTGGGAGCGCTGAGCCCAGAGGTGGAGGAAGCTGTCGATGTCCCAGGGGTGGCAGAGCACCAGGCTGGTCTCCTGCCAGTCGTTGGCCTGCAGGACGCTCACCAGCACATCCACCAGCGTCTCCGGGGAGCTCTGCCGGTCCACGTGGAAGTGGAAGGGGCTCTGCCAACACACGAGGGTCCTGGCTGTGCCCCTGCCCACGGGAAGAGCCCAGAGGCAGTGCCAGACATGGACCCACCTGCCCCGAGGTCATCCCACACTCCCTGCTCATCCCCTGCCCAATTCTTGTCTGGGATGCACTGCCAGGACACATCCCGAAGCCCTTTGGAGTGGGGATTGGGGCTGGGGGCTGCAGAGCTCCAGAGGAACCAGGGAACTTACCTTGGAGTGAAAGCTGGAATTGGGTCTGGGATAGAGCTGGGCAAGGAGCCAGGAGAGACCTGAGATGGGAGCTGGGATAGAGCCAGGATAGGGCTGGAATGAGGGCCAAGAGGGGGCTGGAATAGAGCCGAGATGGGAGACAGAGAGCCAGGATGGGGCACAGGATGAGGCTGGGGTAGAGGCAGGATGGAGGTGGGAATGAGGATGGGATAGAGCCGGAATGGAAGAGAAGACAGAGAGAGAACAGAGCCGGGATGGAGCCCGGAGATAGTCGGGATGCAGCAAAGATGAGTGGTTGGGATTCCGAATTGGAGCTGGAATTGAAGCCGGGATTGGAGGCAGGTCCGAGCCGGGAGGAGGACCCGCGGAACAGAGCCGGGATGGAATCGAGAGGGAGATTGGGATAGAGCCGGTATGGATCCGGGACGGGGATCGGGATAGAGCCGGTATGGATCCGGGACGGGGATCGGGATAGAGCCGGTATGGACCCGGGACGGGGACCGGGACAGGAGCACGGACGGAGCCGGGACGGGAGCGGGGACGGGATCTGCGGGCGGTGCGGGCGCTGCGGGTCTCACCTGCGCTCGGAAGGGCAGCGGCCAGCGGGTGTCCAGGATGCTGACGAAGGGGACCTGGAGGGCGGCGGCGAGGAAGTCGAGCTGGAGCAGCTCCCGGCGGGAGCGGGGCAGCGCCAGGACGGCGGCCACGCCGCGCCCCGCCAGCGCCCCGCACACCCACCGCGCCAGCGAGCCGGGGTCCCGCGCCGCCGGGCCGCCCCCCGCCACCTCCAGGCTGAGGTTGTGGGGCAGCGTCACCTCCCCGGGGCCGGTGCCGGTGGCTCGGGCCAGCGCGGCGCGGAGCCGGGCGCGGGCGGGCGCGGGCGGCAGCAGCGCCCCGAGGCGCACGGTGGGGCCGGGGCTGGGCCCGGAGGGGGCCGGGACGCGGCAGGGTTGGGGGTGTCCCCCCGCCGCCCCCAGAGCCGCCGCCAGCAGCCAGAGCGCCCGCAGCCCCGCCATGCGCCCCGCACCGGCCCCGCACCGGCTCCGGCCGCGGGCAGGGAGCTCCGGCCGGGCCCCCCCGGCCCCGGGCAGCGCCGAGGCCCCGCAGCCCCCGAGCGCCGTGGGTCACGCCGGACCCGGCCCACGCAGCAGCGCCGGACCCGCCCGCAGCCGCCCCGTCCACGCCCACGCGGGCGCGGGTCCCCCCCTCCCCGCACCCACCCGCGCTGCCCTCCGAGCGCTGCCGCCCTCGGCGCCCCTGGCACGGAGTGCCCGCGGAGCACAGGGGGGTCCCCGATACCTCTGGAGCACTGGGATGTTCCTCCTCTTCCTCATCCTCCTCCTCATCCTCCAGAAAGCCCCTGGGGTGGGTCCTGAGCCGTGAATTGCCGCCTTCACCCCGGCAAAGACCCCCAGCCCGACCCCTCCATCCCTCCTCAATCCGAGGGGCAGCTTCAATGTCCGGGGGTCCCGAGGCCCAGAGTTTTCCAGGGCTGAGTGATTCCTTCTGCTCCATGGGGAAGGGGAGAAGGGCAGCAGCAGCAGCAGCACAGCCTTCCTCTGCTGAGGGAGGGGATGTGGGGTCACCCTCCTCATCCTCAGCGGGGAAACTGAGGCTCAACCCAGCCCCAAAGGGTCCCTGCCACCAGCACACAAACACCAGCAACAGGGGCAGGAGCCACGCTAAATTAATAAGGAAAAATGAGGGATGGAGCCAAAATCCATCTGGCAAAAAGCATCGATTCATGTAATATCAATAAATGTAATGAGTCACAGCTAATGAATGCTCCTGCGGAGCTGGACCTGCAGGGAGGGCAGCTCAAATCCTGCCAGAGCACGGAGGGTCATGGGGGGCTGGAATCCCCCTGGCCACGGGCCCCCCTTGCAGGGATAAACACAGGACAGCCCTCACTGTCTATACAGGAGGGGCTTGGAATGAAAACCCCTCCCCAAACACCAGGCACAGCATGGGGGGCTCTCTGGGAAGCCCCATCCTCCCTTCTGCTCTAAGTGCAGCACCCCAACAGGAACCCCACTGTGGGATGACTGGGAGGGAGCTCTGGGATCTGGGTTTTTTGTTTTTGGGCTCCCTGCAGCAGGGATGTGCTCCCACCTCTTGCCCCACTGCAGCCCCTGGCTCTGGGTGCTGACAGTGCCTGCTGCAGCTGATGAATGTTGATCCAAAACGTTGGGAGGAAGAGGAGGAGCAGGAGAGGAAGGGAAAGGAACAGCTCCAGTGATTAAGCTAAAAGCTTCTTCTCTGGAACTGGGGATGCTTGGATGCTCTGGTTTTAAAATGCACTTTAAATCAGCTGCACTTGGTGTATTGAATGGAAGGCGGGGGGGTGACACAGAGGGATGGCCAAGGGACACCTCAACACCCTGAAGGACCCTCAGGGTGAAGGCAACAGGGCAGTTTGGGGATAAGGAATCACTCTGCCACTCCCAGTGAGCAGCCCAGGGATGCAGTGAGAGGTGGTCATGGTCTTGTGGCCATGTTAAAGAAACCAACACGGGCATCTTTCACTATAAAAACCAAATCTTTTATGTAAAAAATAAACCTAAACAAAACCCACAACCCCCGCTGCCATGCTGTGACAATACAAAAGGCCGAGTCCCCAAACACCGTGAAAACAGAGTCGTTGGATCCAAATATATATAAACTGTCGACTGAGGAGATTGGAAATAGCACCTTGCTGGTCCCCCCGCCCCTCCCCAGAGTGACCCTGTGCCCCAAAACCACCACCTGTGCTCCAAAGCCCAGGGACACCCCAGGCTCTGCCTGCCACACACATCAGGAGCCCCCTCCTCAGCCCTGGGAGCCAGGGACCCCCCACTTGTTGCAGCAGCCCCCCCAGAGAAGGAGCCCCTCAGCCCCTGCTGTCCGTGCAGAGTGCGGGGTCTGGTGGCACTGAGCAGCAATCCCCAGGACAGGGTGGGCACAAGGGGGTCTCCAAAATCCAATCTCGAACCGGTATTGAGAGAAAAAAAACCCCACTTTTCTGTCTGCACTGCAGGGTCAAGTAACGAAAAGAAACAAAAAAAAAAAAAGGGGCGGGGGGGAAGAAACGGGGAATGAGCAGGAGCTGCATCCTGAGCCCTCCCAGCAGCCGGCGAGGCTCCTCCTGCAGCGGCCGCCCGAGAGTCCCCCGGCCCCGAATCGGAGTGAACGCGGTCCCTGTGCTGTCCCCGCGCCGGTGTCAGTCCCGCGGCTCGGAGCAGGCTGTGCCGGCTCGGGGGAGGCCGAGCCGGGGCTCGCAGCCGGCTGGGCGGTGCCCGAGGGCGGGCGGTGCTTCCCCAGGAGCCGGACAGGGAGAGGCGGAGGGGTGCGAGGGCGGGGGGAGCCTCTTCACTTGGCTGGTTTGGTGATGATGCGGGTGGAGAAGTCAAAGAGGTCCTTGTTGATTTTGCGGAGGTTGCTCACCTCCTCCTCCAGCTCGCTCACCTGGATCGTCAGGTGCTCCTGGTCTCCCACCAGGTTCTGTGACACGAAAAGACAACAGAAAAGAGTCAGGGCCTCGGCTCTGACAGGCACAGGATGCTGCTCCTTCCCCAGCAGAAAACACCAAACCCTTCAGTCCCCTCCCTCCTCCTCCTCCTCCTCCTCCTCAAAGTGCAGCCCCATGGCACCAGCAGATTTTAGGGCTCTTTTCCCCTATTCCCATGTCCCAGCTTGCTCGAATCAGCTGACAAGGATGCCCCTCAAAAGGGCCAGTACCCAACTCCCAGCCTGGGAGCAGCTCTCACCTTTTCCCTCGTTGAGTACATCTGTGAGTACATCCTCTCTGCCTTCTCCAGGTAGCTCTGCCCAGGCTCCTGCAGGGACCACAATGGAGGGGTTGGCAGAGCAGACACAGACCCTCTCCCCATGCCCCTGGACTGGGTTCCCCATGGGAGGAAGCCTGGGTGATCCATCCTGCTGTCAGGCAAACAGCCCCTTGGCCTGCTGCCACCAACCACCAGGGAGCTTATCCATCAGCTGTGGGCAGAGGCAGACAGAGGCAGACACTGACAGTGGGGAGCAGAGAGGCTGGGATGGCTGCGCTGTGACCCTCCCTGCCTGGAAATGGTGGGACAGCAGAGCCAGCCCACGCTGCAGCACGGGGCTGGGGAGGACAAATGACTGCAGCAGCCAGGATGGGGAGGACGCAGGAGGGAACACCAACGGGTTCCACCAGCTGGAGGAGAAGCTTTTCTCTGTCACAGCCCCTCCTGGCTGGCTGCCCCCCTGCCCAGTGCCCCCAGTACCTGCTGGTGCAGCCCCAGGCGCAGCGTCACCCCCTCGGCGCCCGGCTCGTCGCTGCTCTCGGTGCCGTGCAGGTGCCGGCTGAACTTGGGCAGGGGCACGCTGGGCTTCCCCTCGGGGTTCAGCATGTTGGCAGGGGCCAGCACGATGAAGGCGTTTGTCACCGGACCTGTGGGGACACAGGGGACAGCTCAGGCTGGACCCTGCTGGGTTTGGGAGGTCTCGGGCAGCCCTGGCACAGGACTCTGCTCTGCCTGCCCAGAGCTGGTTGTGACCCCAAGAAAGCAGAGCCCAGCCTCCCCCCACCCTGAGCTGCCATCCATCAGCAGCTCTGTGCTGCCACAATCCATGGCAGAGCTGATGAGTGTGTTAATTACTGCATTAATTACTTACCCGCCCCCTCCCAGCTGCTGTGAGCTCCCAGTGCTGTCCCCCACGCCCTGTCAGGCACAGCAGCCCCCAGCACCCCTCCAGCAGGCAGGGCACTGCTACCACAGCCCCACCATCCATTTCCCCTTTGCCATTTCCACCTTTCCAAGGTGAAGATGGTCCGTGTGCACCTGGAGGGGGCTGCCAGGGCTGTGGAGAGGGGTGCAGGGTGAGGGAGGGGACATGGCGGGGCCTAGGGAGGCTCAGAGCTGCTGGAGGATTTTGGTCTCTGCAGAGCAGACAGACACAAGCAGCTCTGACAGGGATGAGGGCTCTGTCATCACCATCCACCCCTCCAGAGCCTGCTCCTAAATCCGATCCTCCGAGGATTCAAGGTTGGGTCCCACCAGCAGAGCAGCAGCTCTGGCCCCAAAGCTGTTCCTGGCCAGCTCTGATGGCGTCACTCCCTCCTTAAAGATCAGATCACTGTGCTCCATCAGTGACATTCCCACTGCACTGGCAGCTAATGGAACAGTTAGAGAGGAAAGGTGGAGAGGAGAAAACCTCAGGAGTGAACCCAGAGCTCCCCAAACCTGGACACAGCCCCCACAGCCACTCTGGGGCTCCAGTGCAGATGCAGGTCCTGTACCAGATCACCTTGCCCCAAGGCCTGGGGCAGCAGGCAGTGGGTGACCCTGGGCCAGCCTGGGCATGGAGACCAGGTTCAGCTGGAGGGAAATAACCAAATAACCCAGCTTCCAAGGCAGAGCTGCCAGCAGAACACACCAGCCAGAGCATCCCGGGATGGCCTTGCAGGGGGAGCCCTTGGGATGGCCTGTGCCACGCTGTGATTGCAGTGACAAGGATGGAGCTCGTGTGACAGGATGGGAATTGAGGCCTGGAGGGATTTGGGGGCAGCACTGGCTCCCAGGCTCATCCCACAGGTCTCCTGCTTCCCCCCAGAGTGGTGGCAGACCAGGAGCAGCCCTGCCTCGCCAGCACTGCCACAGCTCATCACCCAGGAGCAGCAGCCTGGCTTCTCAAAGCCCACCCACTCTGCCCCTGCCAAGGACAAGCCACCCTTGGTGACACAGCCCCCTGCACCAGCCTGGCCCCGAGCCACTCTCCACCTCCTTGGATTTAATTTGCAGCAGTGTTGAGGGGAGGGCAGAGGGTCCTGTGTGCCCCCAGCCACCCCTGTGCCCAGCAAGCAGAGGGACAGTGCTGTCCCAAGGACACTGGGCCAGAGGCTGCTGTCACATCTCCATGTCACAGCCCTGTCACCTCTGCCTTGGGGAGGGAGCAGGGACAGACCTTGCTGGGGGGCTCAGGAGAGGCCAAGCAGGGGACAGGGATTCACAAGAGGGGCAGCAGATTCCCCCACACTGGGAGGCTGCAGAGCCCTCTGGGGATTCCAGACCCAGGGCACAGCTTGGGAGTGCTGGAATCTCAGCCTATTCCTGAGCACACGCAGCCATGCCAGTGCCAAGGCTGCCAGGGAAACCAAATCCCTGCCCACAAGCAACAGAGAGCCAGCAGAGCACCCACAGCGTGGGGTCAGCCTGGTCCTGCTGCTCCTGGGAAGAGCCTGGTCTGTCCATTCCTGCCTGCAGCCTCAGGAGGACTCCAGTGCCCGGCTCACAGCCAAGGCCTGCCCCCCCCTCCCCTCCTGGGATGACTCACAGCTCCATTTGGTTTGTTTTCACCCTCTAGTGCCAGCCAGGCTGGATGGGCACTGCAGTGGATCCCAATTAGGGACGGTCCTTGGCAGCCAAAGGGAAGAGGAAAAGGGTCTGCAGGGAGCCTGGCTTGCAGAGACTGCCCTGAGGCTGCAGCTCAATCACCACGGAGGAACACAGGGACTGGCTGTCCCCACCATCACCTTTGGGAGGGGTTTGGGCCATGCCCAAGGCAGCCCCACTGGTCCCTGCAGCACCAGGGGCCAGAAACCACAGTCAACAACAGGAAGGGTAAATCCCCCACTGCTCTGAGGTGGCTGAGGCACCCAACTGCTGCTCCTGCAATTTACTGGAGCCATCAGACTGAAATCCCAGACAGCTGCTCATATGGGATACACTTCAGGCCCCATGAGCTCACTGCTGGGGTCACAGAGCTGCCTCCCCTGCAGACACAGCTGGGGTGCATGTGGGGTGACTGCTCCCTGGGGAAAACAAGGAGGAGGATCCTGTGTGGCCTCAGCGACAGGGTGAAATCCATGACTCACTCCTGACAGTGCACAGGGGGTTGTTAACACACGGGGCAAGGTCAGGGCAGAGCTCCAGACAGCCCAGGCTCCCTCCAACGCCTCTGCCCATCCCAGGGCGTGAAGCAAGGGGCAAAAACACACCTGGAGTGCCCAGGGCAGCTCAGGTGAGACACTGGGCCTCTGGCAGTGAGGATCCTGGAGATAAGGACATTCCTACCTTTGTGATTCATCGTCTTGAGGCACTGCTTGCTCTGGATGTCCCACAGCCGGACGGTTTCGTCGTGAGAGCCCGAGAGCAGCAGGCTGCCATCTGTGGACACTGACAGACACGTCACCTGGTTCCTGGAACGGGGAACAGGATGTTTAAACTCAGGATGACCCCAGGAGTGCCAGGAGCTGGTGAGGTGGGCAGATGGAGGCTGGCAGGTACGTCTGGTTCCTCACCTGTGCCCTTTGAAGACCTTCCCGTTCTCCCGCTCTGTCTGGAAGGTCCGGTCTCTCTGAACTGGCTGAAGAAATTCAGGAAGGAAAGGAAAGGAGTTAAAATTCAGGGAGGCTGAATCCAGCAGGTTCATCACCATGTCTGGAGGGGGCAGAGGAGACACAGAGGAACCCTCCCATGGGTTGTCATGGCAGGTCACACCAGTCCCAGCAGGGAGGTGACAGTGGCTCGGGGTGACAGCCCCACACACTCACCCAGGCACAGAGGTCGACCTGGAAGATGGAGCCATCCATGCCCCCACAGAACATGTGGTACTCAGAGAGGTCCAGAGTCACAGCCATGATCCCCACGTCAAAGAGCACGGAAAGCAGGAGCTCCCCAGATGAGATTTCCCAGAGCTGGAGTGAGAGGGGACAGAAGAATCAGGGGTGAGAATGTTCATGGCAGGATTGGAGGAACACTGATATCCTGAAATTCCCTCCGGGATGTGACTGGGAAACTGAGTCCAAGGCTCAGAACCCAGGACCAGCCTCTCTGAGCAGGAGAGAAGTTTCCCAGGCAGCTTCAAAACAGCTCTGAACCCTCTCTGTGCCCACCCTGCCCCCAGGGCATCCCCTCCCCACAGGCTCCAGCCTGCTCTGCTCCCTGTGAACATCAGCAATGGAAAACTGAGGAGCTGACCCTGACATTCCCAGGACAGCAGGGACTGCAGCAGTCCAGCCTGGGGGCAGGTGCAGAGAAACTGCTGTTGTTGGGAGAGGCAGAGCCCAGCTCTGGCAGCTCTGAGTCACTGCAGAGACAGCCAAGAAACGAAGCCACTGCAACCCGGCAAAGCTTGGGGACAGGGACAGCTTCCTGCTAGCTAGCAGGAGCCTGGCTGTGACCCCACAGGGTCTGGCAGCTGTGAGATGAGCCTCACCTTGGCTGTCTGGTCGAGGGAGGCGGTGGCAGCCCGTGCCAGGGGCCCTCCAAAGCCGCAGCACAGGTCGGTGATGGGGAGGCTGTGCCGGGACCAGACGTGCCGGGGGTCGGGGATCTGGGAGGGCTCTGCCTGCAACACGCTGTGGGGAGAGCAGAGACAGGCAGGTCAGCCAGGACAGAGCCCCACGGGCAGCTGGGCCAGGCTCTGACCCCACTGGGAACGCCTCTGCTGGCTGCAGGGACCAAGGGGGACACGGGAGCTGCTGGCAGCCATGGCTCATGGATGCTGAGATCCCTATCCCACAAAGAGCCTGGGGAAAGGGCACAAAAAATCCCCTCTGTGTCACCCAGGGAAAGAAATCAAACCATCTGTTCCCAAGAACAGGTGAGACCCCCAAGGAAAGGCTCCCTGCTTTCAAGGAGGGCACAGACCCAGCTGTGGGCTTAGAGGGATCTCCTGTTCCAAAATCCCTGTGGCACACAGATACTGAGGCTGAGATCCCTATCCCACAGGGACAAAGGGCACAATCCCCTCTGTGTCACCCAGGGAAAGAAGTCAGAACCATCTGCCTGTCCCCAAGAAGCCCCCAAGGAAAGGCTCCCTGCCCAGAAGGAGGGCACAGACCCAGCTGTGGGCTTAAAGGGATCTCCTGTTCCAGAATCCCTGTGCCCCCCAGCCCCTCCTTACTTGTAGAGGTTCCACACCAGGGCCAGGCAGTCCTTGGCCCCTGAGAGGAAGTGGCTGCTGTCATCAGTGAAGCAGAGGCACGTGAGGTCCTGGTAGTGTCGGTTCAGGATGGCCAGGAGGTTCCCATTGGACACCTGGAGGGAGAGGAAGGGCAGGAGGGAGTCAAGGATGCCTTGGGATCATGTGGTGAGCAGGGTGGGCTCTGTTCCACCTCAGGACAGTGACTGACACCACTGAGGCACAGCTGGAACAGCCTGAACTCAGTGGAAATTCAGCACATGGCAGTGGAAGAGGTCCTGACACCTTAATTCTGGAACCCAGTGATGCCAGAGCTGCTCCTCTGGCCAAGTCACAAACGTGCAGTAAAGATTTCTTGTTCACTCTTAATATTCATATTACTTCTTCCCTCCTCCCCCAGGTCCTCAGGAGGTGGCACTGGGGTTATGAGAGCTGCAGGACACCCCAGAGGTGGCTCAAGGGGTTTAGGGTGGACAAGGAATGCCCCAAGCATTTCTTATTAAAAGCAACACTGCAGATGGGGAGAGAACCAAGAAGAGAAAAAGCCTCAAATAAAATAAGAGTCTGCTTCTTCTCATGGTCTGAATTACACCAAAAAATCAAAGCAAACCTCAATTCAAGGGGTTTCACAGACAGCACAAATGCCAGCTCTAGGGGCTGGTTCCAGCTCCATGATGGTTTCCTGTCCAATAGGCCAGAGGGACAGTGCCACACCCTGGAACACATCTGAGGGTGACAGTGCCACACCCTGGAACACATCTGAGGGTGACAGTGCCATACCCCAGAACACATCTGAGGGTGACAGTGCCACACCCTGGAACACATCTGATGGTGACAGTGCCATACCCCGGAACACATCTGAGGGTGACAGTGCCATACCCCGGAATACATCTGAGGGTGACAGTGCCACACCCTGGAGCACATCTGAGGGTGACAGTGCCACACCCTGGAACACATCTGAGGGTGACAGTGCCATACCCCGGAATACATCTGAGGGTGACAGTGCCACACCCTGGAGCACATCTGAGGGTGACAGTGCCACACCCTGGAACACCTGTGTGGGTGACAGTGCCACACCCCGGAACACATCTGAGGGTGACAGTGCCATACTCTGGAACACATCTGAGTGTGACAGTGCCACACCCTGGAACACATCTGAGGGTGACAGTGCCACACCCTGGAGCACATCTGAGTGTGACAGTGCCATACTCTGGAACACATCTGTGGGTGACAGGAGCTGGAGCAGGGCCCAGCATGGAGCATCACAGGCAGCAGCTCCCACTGCAGGCTCAGCCTCAGGGACTTTTTTCCCAGCTAAAAGCACTTGGGTACAAACAAACCCTGATGGGTTCAGGTAGAGCCACTCACACCATGAGTCTCAAACCTCCAGGTGAGGCATCCTGGGGTTTAATCCTGGGCTCAGGACAAGATACTGCTTTCATTTGCTCAGTGGTGTGCCGGGAACGCAGCAGTAATCCCAAATTAATCCAGCAGTAATTAACCAGCAGGACAATGACCAGAGCGCAGCAGGGGCTGCTGGCACTCTAGGCACACACAAATATGCAGCTGAAACGTGGGAGAATCACTGAAAGAAAACCAGATCCTGTGCTGCTGCCTTATGGGAGCAATGCTTGACCCCTGAGGCAGAGTCAGGGCATCCAGAGATGCCTGGAAAGAGGAGAAGGAGGCAGAGTGAAGCCTCTCCCTGAATTCCTCCCACTCCTACTTCAATGAGCTGCTCTGTGGGCTAAGAGCAGCACAGCCTTTATCCCAGGATCAGGATTTACAGACATTTGAAGGATGGGGACCCTGATCCCAGGATCGGGAGTTACAGACATTGGAGGGACTGGGGACCCTCCCTGACTGTGCAGGGTGTGAGTGTGAGTGCCCCAGCACCCCATAACTCCCACAGACCGTGCAGGGTGTGAGTGTGAGTGCCCCAGCACCCCGTAGTACCTCCCACAGGTAGATGCTCTCGGCGACGCCCGCCAGGACGTAGAGCCCGTTGGGAGAGGCTGTCAGGCAGGTCACAGGCCCGGGACAGATGATTTTCTGCTGCAGCTGGTCCTGGGACAGAGAGAGAGCACAGTGAGGGCTCAGAGAAGGGAAGGGGCTGCAAGAAGGGACCCCAAAATGGGAGCTCAGGGGGATCTCTGCGAACAGAGGGATGGGGGGCACTTGCACGGGATGATGGAGGTTGGAATGGAGGGAGGGGGGGCCTGAGGGTCCAATAGGGGACAGAGGGGGGGGTCTTTGCAGAGAATTGGGCCGTGAAGGGGTGTCTGAGGACAGAGGAGAGCCTCCACGAGAAGAGGAGCCATGAGGGGGTCTCTGTGGAGAGAGGAGCCATGAGGGGGTCTGACCACGGATTTAGGGGGGCTCTGTGAATGAAGGGGCTCCTCATCACAGGGTCGGGGGTTTCTCAGGAGGAGTGCCCTCGTCACATCCCCCACAAGGCCCGGAGTCCCCCCGCGAAGCCCGAAGCCGTCCCCCGAGCCGAGGCCGCCCGGGCCCGCCCGCCGCGCCGGTACCTTCCTCTGGAGCTCCCAGACGTTGATGTAGCTCTTGCCGAGCTGGGCCCCCAGCAGGTGCTCGCCGCCCAGCAGCGCCAGCCCGCGTGGGCCGCTGTTGCCGCCGCGGTATCCGGGCAGGGCCGAGCCCGAGTGCAGCTCCCAGACCGAGCAGTTGCAGAGCGGCCCCGCCGCGTCCGACACCAGCGCCACCTCCATGGGCGCCGCCATCTTCGCGGTCCGCCAGGGCCACAGAGAGCGCGGCCGCGGCCCAGAGCGCCGCCTCCGCCGCCCGGCGCTGACCAATCAGCGGCGGCGCCGCGGCGGCCACGGGGGGCGGGGACTGCGCACGCGGCAGGAAGCTCAGCAGGGCCCGCACCGGTCGGTGCTGGATGGGTGACATGGGATAGCGCGTGTGCACATGGGGACCCCATGGACACCCCACGGGTTTATGGGGACTCTGTGGAGACCCCATAATCCTATGGACCTGCACAGCCCCATAGCGACCTCATGGACACCCCACAGCCCTATGGGGACCCTATGGACCTCCACAGTCCTATGGAGACCCTATGGACCTCCACAGCCCTATGGGGACCCATGGACACCCCACAGCTTATTGCGACCCTGTGGAGACCCCATAAACCTATGGACATCCCAGAGACCTGTGGGGACCCTATGGACACCCCACAGCCCCATAGGGACCTCACAATCCTATAGGGACCCCATGGACACCCCACAGCTCCATAGGGACCCCATGGACACCCCACAATCCCGTAGGGACCCTATGCACCCCCCCAGCCCTATAGAGACCCTATGGACCCTCACAGCCCCATAACGACCCCATGGACACCCCACAATCCTATAGGCACCCCTATAGCTTCATGCAAACCCCATGAGCACCCCACAAAACTAAGGATGCCCCGGATACCTCCCAATCCTATGGACACCCCACAGCCCTATGGAGAACCCATGCACATCTCATAATCCTGTCATCACCCCATAAATCCATTGATACCCCACAATCCCACAGGGATACCCCAAATCCATAAGGAAATCCTATGGGCACCCCTAAGGCAAGAAACCCCAAACAACAACTTTTTTTTTTTTTTTTTTTTTTAATATTTCTTCACTTTACAGGGTTACAATTGTCTTAAATATTCTGACGTTTAAATACAATCTGTATAATAATGTTATTATAAAATGTAAACTTTCAGTGTTTTTTTAAGTTTATTTTCTCTTTTTTTTTTAAATTTTTTATTTTTTTTTTTTAATAATAATCAAAAAAGTCTCAATACCTGAATGTTTTGCAAAAACTGAAATCTTTCACCGGGGCCCCGGGTGCGCCCGAGGCCACCGCGCTCAGAGGTAGAATGTGGTTTATTTTTTTATTCCTTTTTTTTCTTTTTTTTTTGTCTTTTGTGGTTTTTTTTTCTTTTCTCATTTTCCTTTTTTTACCTGAGTTAAGATATGCAACGCTGGGGGGGAAGGGGGCAGCTGCAGCTGGGGCTGCTCCTTTAGTTTAATTTTCTTTCCAAACCCCCCCCCCCCCCCAAAAAAAAACTGATTTAGGCTCTTTTTTATTATTTTTAAATCGATATGCAAAAAAAGAAAAATAAAGTGGAAAGTCACCCGCTCTCAAAAACAAAAATAAAGGGAGGGGCAGGGAAAATAATTAAAAAAAAAAAAAAAAACCCAAAACAACCCAAAATAGTGACTGTACAATGCAAAAAAAAAAAAATCACAAAGAAAATCTAAGCCTGCCCTGGGCATGAAAATTCCCCCTTGGAATTTCTCCTTATGGGGAGCTGGGCTGGACCCCAACAGCAGCAGGAGCTGGACGGACCCTCCCAGGCCCCCCCAAAAAAGGGTCCACGAAGCCACCAAGACCCCCCCACCCCAAAAAAGAGCCACCAAGGGGATTCCAGCACGGAAAAAAAACCCCAAAACCAACAATAAACCAGCTGGAAAAAAAACAAAAAACCAAAAAAACAAAAACCCAAATCCCCTGAGATCGCCACTTCCCCGAGTGAAATTAAAAATAAAAGGTTGGGGTTGGGGGGCACCTGGGGAAGGGGGGAAAAACCCTGTGCTCCAGGTGGGAACCTGAGAACGGAGATACCGAGGGGGGGCGAGGGGGTTTCGGTATCGGCTTGGATTGTGTCTCACGCAGATGTGGGTGAATAATTTTTCTTTTTTTTTTTTTTTTTGTGAGGGGGAGGAGGAGGGAAATATTTAAAAGAAGCTGTGATTGTGAGGTTTAAAATAAATGCTTTGGGTTGTGTGCTCCAGAGCGTCCTGCAGCTCTGAGCATCCCCATCCTCTGGGTCCTGCTTGGTTTTGGAGGAAATAAGCCCAAAGTGGCTTGAAACAGTAGTTTTATGCAAGGGGAGGAATAAAAATTAGGATTTGGCGGTGGGGGAAGGAGCAGAGCTGGACCCAACCACCGGTAAGGAGAGGAGAAAGGAGATTCCAACTTTTTTCCAAGCTCCCATTTTCCCTGATGAAGACTAATATATATCATTTGCATGTTAAAAGATTGATTCTTTTTTTTTTCTTTTTTTTTTTTAGAGAATAAAATAGAAGCTATTTACAACAAAACAATCGAAAACAACCTCCTAAAATCCTGCAGAGAGTGGAGTTCCCAAAACAAAGGAGGGAAAAGGATGGAAACGAATAAAATATCTCCCTATTTCCAATTTTTTTAAAGGATTTTTGGTTCTGTTTTTTTTCCTTTAGAATTCCGGGGGGGGTTTCGCTAGAGCTCGCGTCGGCAGGCGTCCGTGCGTCTGTCTGGAGGTAACACGAGTTAAAAAATAACAATAATTATAATAATAATAATAATAAATGTACAGTGCAAAGTGTGATGTGAGTGAGGTAAACGGTCCCGGAGCGGCGCAGCCGGACAGCCGGCGGTGGCTCCAGCAAAACCCCCCGGGCTAAAGCTTTTCTGCCTGCAAAAGGAAAATCCAACAACACGAGAACAAGGGCAGGGCCCATCGAGAGACTGAGAAGATCCCAGAAAAACCCTGGCAAGACCTCGGGGGAGACCCTTGGTGAGATCTCAGTGAGATCTCAATGAAACCCTGGCGAGATCCTGGTGGGACCCAGGTGAGATCTCAATGAAAACCTGGCGAGATCTCAATGAAAACCTGGTGAGATCCCAGTGAAATCCTGTGAAATCCTGGCAAGACCTCGGGTGAGACCCCACAGAAATCCCAGTGAGACCCAAATGAGATCGCAATGAAACCCTGGTGAGATCTCAGTGAGACCCCAGTCTCACCCAGGTCTCGGGTGAGATCCCAGTGAGACCCAGGTGAGATCTCAATGAAAACCTGGTGAGATCTCAATGAAACCCTGCTGAGATCTCAATGAAAACCTGGTGAGATCCCAGTGAAATCCTGTTGAAACCCCAGAGAGACACTGGCAAGACCTCGGGCCAGACCCTTGGTGAGATCCCAGTGAGACCCTGGCAGGACCCTGAACAAAACCCCAGAGAGACCCTGGCAAGACCTTGGGCCAGACCCCAGAGAGACCCTAGCAAGACCTCAAGTGAGACCCTTGGTGAGATCCCAGTGACATCCTGGCAAGACCTCGGATGAGACCCTGGTGAGACCTCGAGCCAGACCCTGGTGGGATCCTGGCAAGACCTCAAGCAAGACCCCAGAGAGACCCTGGCAAGACCTCGTGTGAGACCCTTGGTGAGACCCTAGTGAGGTCCCAGTCTCATCCAGGTCTTGGGTGAGACCCTTGGTGAGATCCCAGTGAGACCCAGGCGAGATCTCAATGAAACCCTGGTGAGATCCTGGTGAAATCCTGGTGAGACCCCAGAGAGACCCTGGCAAGACCTCGTGTGAGACCCCGGCGAGACCCCAGAAGACCCCGGCGAGCCCCGGTGCGGCCCCGTCCCCCCGCGGGCGCCGGTGCCCGAGGCTGGGGGCGTTAAGGCGAAGAAGCGCTGTTGGAGGTAGAGCTGGGGGGCACGGCCAGGCCGGCCGGGGCGGGGGGCACGCTCCCACCGCCGCTCCCCACCCCGCTGCCGCCGCTGCTCCGGCTGCTGCCGCCGTTGCCTTTGCTGTAGGCAGAGGAGGAGGAGGAGGAAGAGGAGGAGGAAGGGCCGGGCGTCTGGGCGAACAGCACACCTGGGGGAGAGAGGAGAGAGCAGAGCTGAGGCACAGGTGCTGTGAGATGGGTGGAGGGCAGCAGGAGCGCGGCACAGGGCAGCCCCTCACCCGTGTACACGATGCCGTTGATCTCCACGGACATGCTGATGCTGTTGGTGCCGTTGCTGCTGGCGGCGGCGGCGTCCGGGCGGTTCTCTGCCGGGGAGAGCCGCGTTACCGAGCCCGCCGGGGCCGGGAGCCGCGCGGGGCCGCGGGGCCGGGGCCGGCACTGACCTGGCGAGCGGGTGCCCTGGCTGTTGATGCGGATGCTCATGGGCAGCTGGGCCGTCATGGCCAGGAGGTTCTGCTGCAGCGCCCGCTGCATCAGCCGCTGCTGCTCGTCCGTCACCAGCGCCAGCTTCTTCTCCGGCGGCTCCCCCGACTCCAGCTTCTCCCGCAGCTGCTCCAGCGCCGCGGCCTGGGCGGCCGCTGCCACCTGCACCGCGGCCGCCTGCGCCGCCACCACCGGGTGCCCGGCCAGGGACACCGGGAGCCGGCTGGGCATGGAGATGGGGATGGGAGAGTCCTCCTCTGCCGGGGGAGCGGGTGTCAGGGGTGGGGACACAGGCGGTGCCACCACCCCGGGGTGTCAGCAGTTTGGTGCCCTGCTGTCCCTCCAAAAGCTCAGAGATTGGTGGTTGGAATCAGGGTCCCCGGGGTGTCAGCAGTTTGGTGCCCAAAGGCCAGAGATGGGTGATTGGAATCAGGGTCCCCAGGCCCCAGGGTGTCAACAGTTTGGTGCCCTGCTGTCCCTCCAAAAGGTCAGAGATGGGTGATTGGAATCAGGGTCCCCAGGGTGTCAACAGTTTGGTGCCCAAAGGTCAGAGATGGGTGGTTGGAATCAGAGCCCCCAGGCTGAGCCCTGGAGCCCAAGGAGGGGAGAGCAGCATCACCCCCCTGCCCGCTTCCCCCAGCTCTCCCCGTTATTATTACATCTCCAGGGCTTAGCAGGGAGCTCAGCTTCCAACCACACCCTGGAGCAGGCACACCCCAGAACAACCATTACCTTTCTTTATCTTCTGGCCGGGCGTGATGGCGCCGCCGTTGGTGGCGGACGCCAGCCCCAGCGCTGGCACCGGCAGCTTGGGCGAGGAGAGGAGGCCGTGGGTGCCACCAGGCGAGTAGGCAAAGAGGGAGCCCCCGAAGCCCTGCCGCCGGCCCTCCCGCCGGTTGCTGTCGATGGCCGCCTGCAGCTCGTTGGGGTTGCTCAGCCCACGCTTCTCACACTCGTAGGGGTACAGGTACTTCATGTACCTGCGGCCAGACGGGACACGGGAGGGACGGTGAGGGTGACACAGTGGCTGGGCACCCCTCCCCCTGTGTGCCAATCCCATTGTTCCATCCCCACTGCTCACACACAGGGCTGTGCTGAGCAAGAGGGACCCCCAAGGACTCCCCATGTGCCACCCCCATTGTTCCCTCCCCACTGCTCGCACACAGGGCTGTGCTGAGAGCATCCATCCCCTGCACAGGGCAGGGGGACCCCCAAGGCCTCGCCCCCTCCCCATCCCTCCGAGCCCCCTCTCACTGGGTGCGCAGGGTGAAGGCCGCGCTGGTGATGGAGGTGGGCAGGCTCAGCCCCTTGGTGATCTCCCTCCACAGCTTCTTGTTGATGACCTCCACCAGCCCCCCCTTCTCGGTCACCAGCGTGTACAGCATGTACAGGTCCAGCACCTGCTTGGCCATGATGGGGATCCTGTTCACGGGGGTCCCTGGGGAGCGGCGGGAGGAGAGAGCTGCTCTGGGGTGCTGCTTTCTTACCCAGAGTGGGGGTGCAGCTGCTGAGACCCCTGTGGGGCAGTGCAGGGGCTGGGGGGGCTCATGCTGCTCCCTCCCCTTCCACTGCCCCCTTCTTTTTCCCCCCAGGCCCTCTCCTGAGATCAGCCCCGAACAAAGGAAACAGAAACTCGCAGTTTGCAGCCACAGCCCCGCTGCCGTGGCTGAGCCGGTTCCTCGGGCTGAGCCGGCACCCGAAAACAACACAAGTTATTTATAACGGGGGGGGGTGACACAATCTGGCTCTGAGGGTCTCCTATGAGCTTGGGGGGCTTGTCCCTCCAGCTTGAGGAGGGGGCTGGCATCCCTTATTGGGGTCCCCACCCTCCCAGCCCTGCAGTGGCGGACCCCAATGGATGCAGGTGGGGTGACTCCAGGGGATGGAGGTGTCCCCCTGTGCAGGGGACACAGCCAGGGGACAGGACATGGCCAGGGGGACCCAGCAAGCAGCCCCAGCCCCCCTGCACAGGCACACGTGCCTTCCCAGTGCTGTCTGACAAAGGGCCAGAGCCAGCCCTGTGTCAGCACTTCCAGCGCTGTTTTCCACGCAGGAACCAGACCCTCGAGCAGGATTCAGCCCTTCCCACCCCCGGCCCCCCAGCCATGGCCTCTCCCCGGGCACAGAGAGGGGCTGCAATAACGCAGGCAATGGGCAGAGGGGGCACACAGCCAGGGGCTGCAGGTCTGGGTGTGAAGGGAGGGGGACAAGGAGGGGCTGCAGGCTCTGGATCCAGCCCAGCAGGTTTGACCCCGCTGTGCTGGAGGGGTTAAAGATTAACCAGCAGCTCAGCCGGAGCCGTGACCTCAGGGCACTAATGAGGGGCAAGGAAATGAGCCCCTGGCCTTGGGGGGGGGACGTGGGGGGTGCAAGGTGGGTGTGGAGGAGCAGGGTGGGCACAGAGCGGGCAGGGGGGCACAGCGTGGGTGTGCAGCTGGGTACTCACCACGCTTCTGCATGAAGCTGAACAGGTCATCCAGGAACTCCTTCCTCCTGGGGTCGCCATCCAGCTCGTACAGCTGCATAAAGAAGAGAGAGATGCTCAGAAACCCCCTTAACCCGTGTGTGTCCCCCCAACCTGAGACCCCTTGGCTTCCTCTGCAGCAGCCTCAAAGGACACCAAATGGTTTGAGGGTCCCTGCAGAGCTCCAGGGGGTTCCTGCAGCTTGGGCTGACCTTGCCAGCCCTGGTTGTAGCTCAGCTCCGGGATCACGGCTGGAGTGGCTCCCAGGCTGCCAACACCGCCCCAGCTCCTCCCAGGAACGCTGACCCCTGTTATTTTTAGCCTCCACTGCCTGCACAGCACAGCAACTCTTCAGCGTGGTCCCTCCACGCTTGGGGTGCCACAGAGAGAGAGCCATGGCCAGGAGGAGCCAGTGTGCCTCGCCATGAACCTGTGCGTGCCACCACCCTGCAGGGACACGTCCTGCACTGGGGGAAGGCAGAGCTGGGCCAGGCTCTGACACGCTGCTGCACCACCTCCATCACCGGCTCCGCTTGGGGCATCTCCATGTGGGACCCCCCACCCCGGCACATTCCTGCCTGATTTATGGCTTTTATGGCTCAGCACCGGCCGGCTGGAGCGCCCGGCACGCCGCAGGCACACACCACGCCACGCCATGCAGCCTCTCCCCAAGCCCAGCGCTGTTCCTGCCTGCAGGCTGGTGGATAATCCCCCCTCCCGACCCTCCCAAACCCGGGCAGGGTGCTGGAGCAAGGGCTGTGGGGGCAGGCATTGCCCAGACACCACCACAGCTCTGCTTTTCTCCATGACAGCCCTGAACAACTGCCAGGGGGGCCGGGAGGGGGCTATAAATAAATAAATACCCCCCCAAAATAAGCCAGGCACGCACTGCAGGTCACCCGTGTGCCCACTCCCTCCATGGCATCAGGAACATGGGCAGGTGGATGGGTGGGCATGGTCCTGCCTTGAGCCCCCTCCTCCTGCAGCCCCGCGGGGAGGATCCGGATCCTGCAGGGCCGGACTCGCCCGCCGGCGCCGATCAAAGGGATCAATGGGGCCGCCTGATAAGCGGGGCCATAAACCCCCCCAGTTCCCCTGGGAAACTCGGCAGGCTCGACCAGACCCTTGCACACCCCCAGGGCAAGGGCAGGAGCCACCAGCACCACCAGCAGAGACCCTCAAAACCCCCTCAAAACCCCCTCAAAGCAAGGGTCTGGTGTGTCAGTGCTGTAGGGGGAATGAGCCATGGCACAGCAGCACTGCTGTGAATTTTGGGGCTGAGCTGCACCGGGCTGCTTGTGCCAGCTGAGGGATGTTGGGCTGGTGCCAATCCAGCCTCCCCCGTTTCCTTAAGCAGCTCCAAAAGCCACACACAGAGAAAGGAAAGGGCTTCCCCAGCGCCCGATGCCATCCTGGGCAAGCACCGAACACTCTGGTTCATCCAAGACCCTCGGGGTCATGATCCACCCCCCTCCTGGACTCAGTCCCGAGGGGAATGGACGCGTTTAAGAGGATGAAAGAAAATTAATCGTCAGCTGAGGAGAGCGTGGCCGGCCAGGACAGGGGGATTAGTGGCTGCGGCAGGCGGCTGCCCCGAGTGCGAGCCCCGGTGGTCCCACGCCAAACTCAGCTGATTGCAGCCACTCTCCCCCCTGCCCAAGTGTGATAAAGCCATGGGGGTGCCCAGGGATGGTGGGCAGAGGGATCCCCGTTCTTGCCCTGCCGGCACACCCGCCACGGCTGCCGGGCAGAGGATGTTGCACAAGCTGCTGCTGACGGTTACGGTGCCAAGCAGAGAAACAAACTCCCCTTGGGACCCCCCAAACCCTGGTTTAGCTCTGTCACTGCCAACAGAACCAACTGCCAGCGACGGGCACCTGCCCAAGGTGCTCATCTGGCAGCACTGTGGGGGTGAGGACATGCCCAGCCGCGGCTGGGACGTGCCTGGTGTGCACTGTGGTGTGTGACAGAGCGCATTTGCCAAGCCCTGGTGTGCACTGTGATGTGTGACAGAGTGCTTTGCCAAGCCCTGGTGTGCACTGTGGTGTGTGACAGAGTGCTTTGCCAAGCCCTGGTGTGCACTGTGATGTGTGACAGAGTGCTTTGCCAAGCCCTGGTGTGCACTGTGGTGTGTGACAGAGCGCATTTGCCAAGCCCTGGTGTGCACTGTGGTGTGTGACACAGTGCATTTGCCAAGCCCTGGTGTGCACTGTGGTGTGTGACACAGTGCATTTGCCAGGCTGCCCCTGTTCCCCCTCGACCCCCAGCACAGGCAGGACACGGAAGGGGACACACAGAGACGAGTGACTCCCAGCTGCCCCTCGCAGGATTTCCTTGCATTGACGCCATCCGCAGCCAACGGCACAGCAGCCCCGAGAGCCCCAACGGCAGCGCAGGACAGCTGGGACAGCGGGGCTCGGAATGCAAATTGGGGAACAGAAACCTTCTGCTTTTGGCAGCATGCGAAACCCAGCGCGCAGCTGAGCTTGGCACGGGCCGGCGCTGCTGCACCGAAATCAGCAGGTGCTGAGTCTTGCGCCTGCTTGGTGCTGCTCCCTGCCCCGTGCCCGTGCCCTGCTTCCTGCTCTCAGCCCTGGTTTGTGCCCAGCTCAAGGCCAGCTCCTCGCAGGAGCACGCGGCATCGCGGCGCTCGGTGCAAAGGTACCGGCGTGCAGGCAAGGCCGCCCGGTGCCGCTGAGTCAATACATTTATGTTTCGTAATTAGGGAGCTGGAAACAACTTAATCCAGAACGCAGCTGCCCCGGGAATATCCTCTTACCGTGGGGTCCCCACGGCAGGGTGTGGGTGGCAGGGGACACTGTGGTACACAGCCATCCTAGCCTGGTTTGGGGGAGCAGGAGATGCTCCCCACAACCCTGAGAGTCCCCTGAGTTGGGAGATGTGACCCAGTGCTCCCAGTGCTGACCATTCCAGGGTGAATGCTCGATGCCAGCAGCACGGGGTGGCTCTGGCCACAGTGTCCAGCCCACCTGGCCGCAGCACAGCCCCTCGGCCCCCGGCCGGCTGAGGACACGGAGCCAGATGGCCGTTGCCAGCAGATCCATAATTAAGTGGAGGAGGAATTAGGCAGGCGGTGGGCGGGTGGCCCTGACCCCGGCCCCAGCACCCCCGGCAGGATGCCGGCCCGGCGTTTGGTGTGGATGACCGGATTAATGTTTCAAACCAGATTACAGGAAAATCCCAACCCCGCTGGCTTTCAAAGGGCAGGCGGGAGGAGGCGGCCCCATGGCAATGCCAGGAATGCGGGAGAGCCCTCGGCACGGGCCGGGGATGGGGGGTCCGAATCCTCCACAACCCCCTGAGCAGGAGGGGAAGCATCATTTCACAAGGCTCATGCTGGTGCCAGGCAAATCCTCCCTTCAACAGGACTCCCTTGTCTGCCCCATGAGATGTCATGGAGGAGTCCGTGTCCCTGCATCCCACGTCCGAGTTAAAAACATAAAAACACCTCCCTTCCCCCCCCCCCCGCTGCTCGGTTCCGGGTTTTCAGGCCTCGGGGATTAATTTTCAAGTTTCTTTTCCATTGCCAGGAAGTGGCAACACTCTCGGTTTTCCTCCTTCTCTCCAAAACCGGTTTGAGACGTGCGCACCGTGACGTGAGCTGGGACTGGGGACAAGACCCAAGGGCCACTGCAGCAGGGCTGGGGGCTGGTGGCACCTCCAGGGGCTAAACTCCCCCAAATTCCTGTATTTAAGGAAAAAACACAACGCAGGCAGCGGCGGGGAGAGCTCGGCAGGTAGCAGGAGCAGCAGTGACAGAATTGAGGGGTTACTCCTCTCCTTTTCTTCCTTTCCTTCCTTCCTCTGGCAGCCCCCGGGGATGCATCCCTTTGTCCCGCGGACAGCGAGGGGCCACGCTGGGCTGGGGAAGAGCCGGCGCACACTAACGAGTTCTTTAACCAAGAATAAACACATTTATGGCGCGTTTCCCGTCCCACTCCCAACCCCTACACAGCCCCCGGCCTCTGGCACGCCGGGACCCGCAGTGGGGTCGGAGAGGGCACTTATTCAGAATAAGAAAGTCGTTTGTAAAAACCAGAGCCAAGGATTGACGCGGGGCGTTTCGGAGGCGCTGGGGATGTGATTTCCTGTAAGGCGATGGCTGAGTCAGGACTGGGGGTACCCAAGGCAGCAGCCCCTCTCCAGGCACAGGGTTTGCTGGGGTAAATCCCTCCCGGTGAAGGGCAAAGGGAGCAGTCCAGCCCCGGAGCAGATTCCTACGCAGATAAAGCGCTCGGCTTAGGTACAGGTCACCCCTGGCTGTCCCCATCCCTAATCCCCTGCGAGCCCCCCGGGGCACAACCCTCCGTGGGAAGGGGCTGCTAGGGGCAGGGAGGTGTGTGTGCCCCTTCCCCAAAAATGTCCCAACAGTTTGCTGGTGGGGGATGTGCTGGCTGGAGCCTCGCCCACATGGCCAGAGCTGGCGGTGACTCCACTGACCGGCCCGGCGGGATTCCTGCTGCTGGAGCATGGCCGGGCCGGGCTGGGCTGGGCTGGGCTGGGCTGGGGGGCCGCTTCCGCGGGGGCAGCCGGGCAGGGGGCCCGGGAGCTTCCCGTCGGCACCATTGTTCACACCGGTTCCCAGCATTGTCCCCTCTTCAGGGGACACGGCCCCAGCGCAGGTGCCTCTTTGCGCCAGTGCCTCCTCCCCAGGCTGGGGGATCCAGTGGTGGGCACAGCATCCATCGGTGACAAACCCAATCCCAATCATGGGCACACGGCAGTCTGGGGGTCCCCGAGACCACCCGGTGCCCACCTCCTTGCCACACAGGAGCCATGTGGGTGACCCTGGGGGTACACGGCGGGCGGTGTCACGGCACGGCGGGTGTCAGGGCACGGCGGGTGTCCCCGAGCGGCACAGGGGACGCTGAATGGGCGAATTAGTCACCGTTTAACCCCGCTGACCCCCCATTGTCCGTGCGCTGTCGGCCGCCCTCCCCAGCACGGCCGTGCTGCTGTGCCCGGCCAGCCGGCAGCTCCCGGGATCCGTGTCCCTGATCCCCCCAGGCTGACACTGGCTCCCGGGATGGCTGT